TGTTTTGTTTATGCCTACATGTAATACAATAATTATTGTTCTCCAAATGGTTAAAAACTAGAAACAGACAAGGGAATACATTTTTCAAAATCTTTCTGTTACACTCAATTATTTGGGGGAAAAACAAATGATCTAGATTATTTAATATTATATCTATTATATTATAATAAGAAATTTCCATTTTTTGAGGGGACGAAGGTTGGGTCCACAAAGTAGGGGCTGAGCAAACTTGATAAAACACTACCTAAGAATGCTACAGACAAAGTTTGGTGATCATCCATCTATTTATTCTGTAGAAGATATCTAAAGGTTTTTCTAGTTTTAGCTCTAGAGACCCCTAAAAGGGGCCAATCAAATTTAAATAAGCAAATTTGATACAGGACTACCTAAGAATGCTACAGACAAATTTAGTGATCATCCATCATTTAAGATGTTTAAAGGTTTTTCTATTTTTCGCTCTGTTGACCCATAAAGGGGCCAATTGAAATGGCTTGAGCAAATTCAAGTGTGATTGTCGCAAGGATGCTACAGACCAAATTTGAGGTAAATCTTCCCAGCAGTTTCTGAGAAGAAGATGATTGTTGACACATGATGCCAGAAGATGGATGCCGGAGCATCCCCCTTTGATACATGTACTAATAGCTTACCCTGAACCTTCAGTTCTGGTGAGCTAAAAAGTTAGTTTTACATATCAATTTTGATCATGTTGATTAACAAGCAAATGAAAGATAACATTAAACAAGAACTTGTTTGTTAAACACAAATGCCCCCGGCTCAGATTCTTGTCAGTAGCAATACTTCAAAAAATGTTTACCCATTCACTCAGTTATGGACAGAAAAATCGCCAAAAAATTGTAAACACAAGTTTTATCACTTGACAAAGTCATGGCAATTTGTAATTGTGAAATATATAAGTTGCCAAGTCATTGCTCTGACTTGTGAAGTTGAAAAATATTTAACTTCATGCAAGTTATCTTCCTACCAAATATGAAATACATCTGTCATTAAATAAAGGCTGTATGGGCAAAAGTGTAAAAATCTATTTTGAGCACTGGCGACCTTGACCAAACTGACCCCTAACTCTATCCAAAAGAAGAATACCATGTAAGTTATCTTCCTACCAAATATGAAATACATCTGTCAATAAATAAAGGCTGTATGGGCAAAAGTGTAAAAATCTATTTTTAGCACAAGTGACCTTGACCCAACTGACCCCTTACTCCATCCAAAGGAAGAATACCATGCAAGTTATCTTCCTACCAAATATGAAATACAACTGTCAATAAATAAAAGCTGTATGGGCAAAAGTGTAAAAATCTATTTTTAGCACAAGTGACCTTGACCCACTGATCCCTACCCCAATCAAAAGGATGAATACAATGCAAGTTATCTTCCTACCAAATATAAAATATATCTGTCACTTAATAAAGGCTGTATGAGCAAATGTGTAAAAATCTATTTTAGCACTGGTGACCTTGACCCAACTGACCACTAACTCCATCAAAGTTTATGTTTCTATCAATTATAAATAATATCTGTCTATAGAATAAGGTCAATACACCTGTAAAAATGTAAAAATCTATTTTTAACATTGGTGACCTTGACATTGGTAACATTGACCTTGACCCAAATGACCCCATACTACACCCAAAGAAGGAGGTGTTTGTATTAAACTAAGACATCAACTAAAAAATAAAGGCTGTATGAGCAAAAAGGTTTATATTTATTTTTTAAACCAGTGACCTTGACCCTAGAGACCGCTTACTCCAAAAAAAATTAGAGGACCATCAAAGGTATCCACCTACTAAATATGAAAGATATCAGTAAAGAAATTAAGCAATTAGGAGAAATTTAAGATAAATCCAACTTGCCGAAATAGGTTAACCAGACAAGGCCCTATTTTCAAAGTGAAAAAAGGGAAATAACTGGGAAATATGGATGACACAGTTATATAACTTGGCAATATCATGTGCTTTGTATTGATAAGTAAGTGTGGAAATTATAAAGCCATTAGTAAAGATAGCACTAATGATATTTCCAACTTGCATATTATATTGAAAACTTTCTGCTTTCCCGATCATAGGTAGCACCTCATATTATATTAATTAGGTAGTTCCAAAGGCCCCATGATGGCTGAAGCACTCTTAGATAACATGTATGATGCGTATTAATTCAAATTAGATCAAATTAAAAGTAAATGAAAATTTCAAAAAAAATATATATCCTATACCTAATAAGCTGTGAAAAAATCCTTAGTTAACTGGGCGCCACCATTTTAAAATCCTTTTGAGCTAAACATAGATATCAGAGCGCTTTTAATGAGCGGCTACATAATTCAGAATATTGCTAGCAGACGCTTGCTAAATAACACTTCCGGTGAAAGAATGATGTATAAATCAGAAAATAAACATGCATAACATCGATAAGAACTATAGCCAGGGCTCTAGCAACTGGGCGATTTGAGTCGCCTAAAGTTTCAGAACTTCGCCGAGTTTGAACGCCAAAGCGAAAACGACTTCGCCGCGCTTTTTTACTGACCACATGTACATAGAAATATCATACAGCGCATGTTAATTAAGTTAATCCTCGCCTCCAGGCATGAAACAAACTGAATTAGTGACGCACAGTTACTGCCGATAATTGACATCAATTAACACATTCAAGTGACATGATATGCAGATGCATCGGACATTACAGCGATGTAAACATCACAATTTTTAAGCATAATTTTACGACACCTGTCACTATTTTATCAGACTACACCCGGAATTGCTCTTACCATATTTGACAGTAAATACACGCAACCTCACACAGACCGTGTAAATTTACTTGCATATACATTAATACACACAGAAGCACAAGTAAATGGTTTGATACCTGTTTGATAGTAAAAATGAAATTTGTTAAAGAACTTAAAAAATATTGACCCACATTAGACCAATTTTAGACATGTCAAAAACAGCAGTAAACTTTGTCTCTTCAAAAAGTTACATAAACGTCGGTAAATTATGCGGTAAACTACAAATTTGAAAATTTTGTTTTACAATGCCTGTTGCAATAGCGGATGAATAACAATATAAAAATAATCATTGGATATTTAATCTAATATAATCAAAATCAACAACAACTAGAATTGTAAGTGTTTCTGCAGGAAACAAGACAAATTTTCATTTGTCACATATTTTCGCGATGCCGATTTTTACGATGAAAAAATAAAGTTACCAAAAGGAAAATTTGTTTTGTTAAAATGTGTCCAATAGCACTTAAAATGTAGTTTATTAATGAAAATTCCTTAAGGTATTGTTTACATAAATTTTGATTGAGAATTTTTTTTTCCAGTATGTGTTTTACAATGAATATTTTCTTAAGGGAGGGGGGTGTGTGGAGTTAATCAGGAAGAAATCATTATAATGGTCTGATGATAGAGGGTTTTAGAATTTATAGGCCTACTTCAAATATCACTATCAATAAATAGGTAAAACTCCTTTTTATAGATAAAATCAATGTGCTAAACACTTTTTCACTTCTCCTTATGTCGTCAAACTTCTCCCTGAAAGGAGCTGAGGGAGAAGTCACTTCTCCCTAAAATTTTGGTCTAGCTAGAGCCCTGATAGTATTAGTAACGATTATAAATATAAAAAGTTACTTTAACATATCCTTTTTGATAAATTAGCACATTGAAAAATAACGTTAAAACAACAACTGGATTAGAGATTAACAAAAATGGGGGACAGGATTTATCCAAAAGCTGTGGTCCCCCTTCACGAGCTCCGATGATAGGTTGAACACCACCAATTTATTTGTTTTGTTTACGGTACAAAATACCTGCATAAAATTTATTTATAAAATTTATTTATGAAGTGCTTACATGTACACTAAACATGTTATGCTAAAATCATAATTCATAAGAGCTTTCCGCGGAATAGGTAGCACCTAATTTCATATTAATTAATTGTTTGTCCCATCATATTATGTCCAAGATTTTATGAAAAATCAATCTGTAAAAACTATTACTACCGATGCTGGGTTGTAATAGAATGCGAAATGGACTCCATTTCGCGAAATGAACTTACCGCCTACGAAATGGACATTTGTTTGTTTGACAGCGATGAGTAATATTATTTTTATTAATTTATGTTTAACCTTTGACATAAAACTACAGATTGAACAAATTAATATTTCTATTTTCCTATTTTATAGTCATATCTATGAAAATAATCTGGCCTCTACGAAATGGAGTTTTCGGCCACAAAATGGAGGTATCGCTTACGGAATGGACATTTGCTTTACAAATTATGGTGTAACTGACATGTCACAAACTTCAAAGGGTATCTTTTCTATTCACTTAAATTCAATCTGGGACGACAAAAATATTTTTGTCCCAGGTTAAACATATGATATATTACAGAATTTTTCTATTTGAAAGACCATGTATAAAACACTTAACTATGTGACATTATTATACGATTATTTTCAAATGTAGATCTACAAGCATAAATAATGAAAAAATATTACAAAAATTGTTTAAATAGTAATCTTATGTCATATATCACTTGTTCATTATTAAAAAAGATATTAAATAGTACACTTAAACCAAAATTTAAGAAACAAATGTCCATTTCCTAGTCGAAAAGTTCATTTCGCGAAATGGAGTCCATTTCGCATTCTATTACTACCGATGCTTATCTACAGTAGAGAACTGAATCAATGTTTATGACAAGTGAGTCAAGACAGTTATAGTTAAGGAGCTACCCAGCAGGCACATCAACGTTGTTTCAACGTTGAATTATGGTCAGATTTCAACGTTGAAATAAGGTTGGATTTATATTCGGATTTGAAAGTTGAAACAACGTTGAAATTTCAACGTTGATACAACGTTGCAGCTTCAACGTTGGTACAACGTTGAAGTTTCAATGTCATTTCAACGTTGAAAACCCACCATACTTTAATTTTTGGATATAAAGCAAAGTTACCAAGTTTAACAAAATATCAAGACAATATTAAATACTTCAGATATTTTATTTAAAAAATACAGTTCAAGTGCAGCTTAAATTCACTTTAATAGTTTTAACAATTATGCTACAATCTGTTCCAATCTTTTCTTCTAGATCTTTCTGGGTATGTCAGGTGTTTGAGTACTTCTTTGGCTGTCTATTACTGCTTCTGAAAATAAAAATAAGAAGTTGTTGACTTGGTCAATCTCAAATTATACATATAATTACTCAACTTAGTGATTTGTTTTTATCTTAAAATGCTTTTCTCTAAGATTTACATTTTAAAACAGCATAGAAATTGAAACATAGCTAAGTTTCATATTGACAGCAAATACTGTATATAAGACAACAAAATCTTTTTAAAAAGAAGCTATTTAAAAGTCTCACCTATAATTGGTAAGAAAAACTGCTCCCTGTCAGTTCCTTGCAGCATATTCCCAAGAAATTAACATTCTAGGCTCTAGCTAAGACCATTTTATGCAGCATCCTGAAATCAACAAACATGTAAATTTTATATTAATAATGTTACAGGAATATTCAGAAAATAATATATTTTAAGACAAGATAAATATCCAGTAGTTGAAAAATTTATACTTTGTATTGTAAATAAATTCAAATATATAAATTAATAAGAATTAATTTCAATTTAACAAACCTGACAGTCCTTTTCATGTTGAGTGTATGGTATACAGACTACAGCTGCAATACTCTAAATTTCAGCCAGGACCAGGATCTAGAATATAAAATAATATATAATAAAATAGAAATAGATTTATTATTCCCTATAAATGTACGACTATTCAACTTTAAAGTTTAACACTCAACTTTGTTATTTAACTTAATAATAATGTTTTTTTTTTCAAACTAATTAACACTGTATTATACTATCACTAAAACATAGACATAACTATATATATTGTCTTGGTACGTAAATTATGTGGGCCGAACTACTTAATAATAGGTTTCAATTTTATAATTGATTAAATTCTAATTAGGATATAGTACAGACAAATGTTTAATAATATGAAAAATAAATTAAAGTTCTAAAGACAAGATTTGTAAAATCATAAATTGCCAAGCACATAAATAACTTCATGCTTACAAGGCCTACCGAACACAAATCATTCAATTAGGTCGCGAAAACGTGTCAAATCAACTCAATCATGTGTTTTCATCTCTCTTTTATTTCATATATTAAATTAAAGTAGAATTTTAAGAATAAATAATAATATTTTAGAAAATAATCAGTAAACTAAAGTAAAACATTACGGTAATACCTTCGAAATCCAAATAAATTGCAAATCGTGTTGTTTTCAAATTTTCCAAACAGCGCCACCATTTGCACGAACGATAATCATAGACAACAAACAAAATCATAGACCGCAACAATTACTTCCCCTGACCAGCGTTATTTTATAAACGGGGTTTTGACTAATATCACTTTATTAATTAATATTATTAATAAAGAACTAAAAAATAAAACAACAAACAACAAAACATATTAACTAACATTTAAAGCGTTTGTCACAGGGTCAAGTATACATTGTCCGTCTTGCCAAGTGCTGTATATTTTTGGTCTGTTCGTGACCATGCCTGTCTCTGTATATTTAAATAAATATAAAGTGAAAAATTATTTCCAACTTTATTTGTTTAAGCGCTAATTTTGAATATACGGAAAAAGATTGTAACGCAAATTTTACTGACAAAGATCACTTTGTGACTAATTCATTAAAGGAATAATAACACAAAATTAGTGGTATAAAGGTTTATATAATGATTAAACTAAATGTAAAACTTCGACCATAAACAACGTTGAATCAACGTTGTATATACATTGGCAATATATCCGTTTGGTCGTCCATAGTTGAATATTGGTTGAACAACGTCACGACCATATTTCAACGTTGAAACAACGTCGAGTGCCTGCTGGGTATTTTCCCTGAATAAATGATATCATCACAATGGCATGAATCCCGACTTAAGATTTCCAAAACTAAGTTAAATTTGAAGTTCCATACTGTCTTTTATCAATTATTAAACACTTAAAATAAAAGTTATCTTATAATTGCCAGTGAAAATATCAACGTCACCAACATGTTTTGATAAATCCAGCAAGCCGATAGTGTTTCCAGATAAAAGTAAGAGGTGATTACCTGAAGTTTCCGCCATTTCAGATCAAATATTCAATGTTGAATTTTCTGACAGAAATATATCCCTTGACTGTGCGTATTCAATGCTTTCTGTTTCGTTTTTTAAACATTAATGATGAAATTGTTGGTGTCAGTGTTCTGAGAGTAACCTCCCTTGCTAACGGCGGTGTTTATTCAAATCGATATTTTTGTAAAACTTGAACTGGTAAACGAACACTAAATTTTGAGAAACTAAAATTACACAGTTGCGTATAGCCTGGGTTCCAGTCTGTCTATTTTTTATTTGCTTCTGTTCTCCAAATCGACATTGATACTATCAAAAACACAAACGAATACGAAACAACACGTATGTTATTGTATGTAATTGATAAGTGTTTCCCGCTGGAATATCAATCAGTAATACGACGCCTGTTCCGTTTTGTTTCACGTTTTCTCCAGGTTCTCTCTCTCTCTCATTGCAGTATTTAATATCCCTTTTTTAAATAATTCAATCAGGTTGTAACCCGATGATTATAAATATACACTTTTACACAGGTATACAAGTATTTTAAAACGGTCTGGTTTGTTACAAACTTGTAAAAAAACAATGTTTACAACTTGACAAATTTACATATCAATGGGAGAATTCATTGGGGTTAAATACACATTTATTTTAAACTTATCGTGACATTTGTCTGTCCAGTCTTGTCCAAATATAATATGTGTTATCATAACGCTTCAGAATATAGCGACTGTGAAAAGTCATTTACACATTTACATAAAAGAACATATTTATAGGAGTTAATCGTAGGTGGGGCTTAGTAATAACTGTTGATGCAGATGCTTACCATATTTAATAAAGAATCTTTGGAACGATACTATTACTGTCACAGCAGACGTTTACTAAATTTCATTAGGCAATTTATGACAATGACTTTTGTGAAATATCACAGGCCTAACTGTAACGGCGTCATTTATGCGGCAATCTTTAACAATGACTTTAGTAAAATATTATAAATAAATTCAACATATTACATGAGGTAATCACGAAATTTAATTCATTCTTCATTATTTCGATGTTTGCTTTATTGTAGTTAAATTTTGGTACTTTATCAGTTCAAGTTTATTTTCACAGACACTTGGGGTTTGGAGCTCAAAAGACCTTTAAAATCCAAATGAAATGTGTATTTGTCAATCCCCCAGCACATGTACTTATCAAATATATCAAAAACGTAAACAATTCATATTTCAACGTCTATTGTATAACATTATTATAGTCGTCGAAATATGATTTTTTTTTCAAAACCGTAAACGGTTTATTTGAAGTTTTTTTTAATGTATATGATAACAGAGTCTAGTCTCGAGTCACGGTCGGCCCTGGTACGGTCCGCCCTGTCTCACGGTCCGCCCTGTCCTGCAGGCATAACAGAGACATAGATGTTATCGGTGTCTCTGATGATAAGTATATTTGCTGGGTTTGACAAATATACATTTTATTTGAATTTCAAGGCATTTTGAGCTGCAAACCCTATAGTGTCTTTTTTTTTTTTTTACAAAAGACTAATTTAAAGGTTAGAACTTCACGATTACTTTTACCTTAACTGGCTAGATACTTTAGATCACTAATAACGAATCGTCTTCGTTAGTAAAGTCCAATATTGCTGGTTCTTGTTCTAATCGGTATCATGTAGGTTCTTTTAAATGTTGATGTAAAAATACATTCGTAGCTCCATTATACATTCCACGAACTCTGATTCCAATGTCATTTCATTTGTTATATTCGACATACTTGTCACAGTCTATATTTTTTTGTTTTGTTTTTGTTCTGACAATTAAGAAGAAATGGGTTAAGTCAGTTGTTACTTTATTCCCTGTTATTGTGCAAAATAGACGGACATATAAAATAAAAATCTAATATAATACATATAGTTGCTTTTAGTTTCTTCAAGCTATGCCCCAGTCTTGAAGAAACAGGAGGGCCATGATGGCCCTTATATCGCTCATCTGACTATTAAGGCTCTTGGTGCCTCCAGGGTGCACCTCTGTGGTACCTTATTCGTGTCGGGGGGGGGGGGGGAGGCGCCCTGTGAACGTTGCCTTTGCCTTGTGGATCTGAATTCTCGTCTTTTCTTAATATTGTTAGCAAGGAATGAAAAGCAGATAAAATGTCATACTCTTAAACTGATATAACGTTCATACATGTATCTGCCCCTGAAGTAGTACAAAACAAGGCTTTTTCATACACTTAGTCTTTGAACTCAAATGACTCATTTGAACTTGTCCTAGAACACCGCTATTTAACCTATCTTGCTGCCTAATTTCAAAGTTATTTGGGCAGAAAATATTACATTTAATGTGCTAACTAGGGTTTTCCATATTTGGGCTCTTTTACCTAGTTTTTGACCAAAGATGATCCCCTTTTAAAGTTGAGCTTGAAACAATCTTTCTGACCAATATCAGGACATTCTCATCCCAGTTTTCAAACTAGTATGAGCCATTACTTGTACAAGCAGCCTGACCAAGTTTGGTGAAAACTGAGGTAAAAATGTGACAACTAGAGTGTTGAAGAGCTAAATGTGGACATCCAACGATGCCCCTTTTACTTTTTTATCAAAAGATTTAAATCTAATTATTTTATGTTGACTATTACACGATAAAATGAAATGATTTCAGCCAGACAGTTGATGGCACTAATCTACTTAATTTAGCATGAAGTTTTTTCCCATCGTATTTATTACTTTTGTTACCTAATGTTAGACTGTATCAAACATTGCCCATTAAAAATGTTCTCCATATGTTACTTTACCAAGTTAGATTTGGACTAAACTACTGTTTCAAATTCAAAGCAGACCATCATATAAATTCAGCAATTTTATATAAAATCTTAGCATTTTGCTATATCTAAAACCTTCAACATTAACAATGCCCCAGTTTCAACTTAAATTAGGACAATTTCATTTTAAAAAAATACATGTATAATGCCATTAAGATTGAACAATTCAAGGAACTTAATAGAAAAACACAGGGAAATAATCTTCTCTAACTTTATTTCTAAACACCAAGAAAATTATGAGTTGTATAAACAGTTTCAATAGCAAATGGATTTCAGAATGACAGTGTAAAATAAAACTTTAAAATATATAACTACTAAACACAGCTAAACAACATTTATGATAAATAAATAAATATGACAAACAAAAACTTGTGCTCCCTTAACTTCGAAAGTGCAAGCTGGAACTATGGAAGGCCAAGTCAGCCCATATATCCATAAAGTGTTACCAAAATCTAAAATGTTGACGACTAACTTTTTGTTAAATAAATTAACACTGCAATCCCCATTGAATCGGTATAGAGTTATATCATAGCCATCTGTAATTGGCATAATATTTGTCTGTATTTTGATCAAGTTGTTTTGTTGTGTTTTAAGGTATACCAACATTGGTAGCCATATGACTACTTTCCAGCTTTATTGGTGGAGGTAGGCCTCAGTGGTCTCTTTGTACATTATTTCTGGCATTTACTTAATATAAGCAACCTTCTGTAATTATCTGTACAGAACCAAAGTTCCTAAACTGAAAGAATAATGCTTGTAAATTTACTATTAAATATTGGTGGTATATACAGCACTTGTTTTATGATAAACGTTTGACACCACCTGAAAATAGTGTTAAGGAACATTATTTTCATTCTATATCAATATATAATTTATCAATTAAAAAACAAGAACATTCTTTGCTAAACTCTCTCTAGATTAGACTATGAGAATATCAAACCTTGTGGCTGTGTGGTGGTTTTGTTTTAATTTCCATATTATTATTATTATATTGTATATTACTAATATTTATATTACGGTATGCCAGTTACATTTTTGTACCCTTTACACTTTGAAAAAATGCAGGCAGAATGACTTTGCTGATCAGTACACAGTAAGGCAAGCATGTATACATAAGCTCTTGGGGCAAACTTCAAAAATGTGAACACATATTGTCAATACAGTCATGTCAGTGTAGTCACAATGTTTCAGTATATGAACACATATTGTCACCTCAATACAGTAATGGGTTAACTCTTTACATAATTTAATAGGAGATAACTCATTACGGCATTGAGGTGACTATAAACTCTCCTACCTGTGACGGACAGTTCCAAATTCAAAGCAGGCCAAATCCTTAACAAAAACACAGAAATCTTTTAACTAAATATATTAAAATTAGATCGCAAATTTTTTTTAAGGCAAAATTAGTGCAGCAATTCACACACATGAAAATTTACAACAATATTTGTTCTCAATCTTCTAGACATGAAAACAGTATGATCAAACAGTTTGTTCTACACTGAAACAACTTGCATTCCATTTCTTAAACAATAAAATGCCAGAGATTCTATGAGTTAAACTATGTTAGACAAATAATATAATTAAAAATAACTGATGATAAAATCTTAAAAAAAGAAAAAAAGAATAACATAATTTCACATGAACACAGGATCAAAATTATAGCTATCCTTCTGCTTTTATAAGATGTAGTTGTTTATTTTCTGTAACAAATATGTTAGATGAAGAGTTTTATCAGATTTTTGAGGGAATATACACATATGTATTAGATACCACTGTAAATTTACATCAAACCAGTGTTAAGAGGAATTAATTTCCTAATATTCATAAGTATTATAGAAAATCAATAAAATATGGTAAACAAGATCAACAAGGAAAGGAGGCGTTCAATAAACGCAACCCCCACACGACCATCTTGTCAATATATCCATATATTTATCAAATACACGTACATTTTGTATATCTACTCTCTCTTTTACTTTCAATGCTATGATAATTTAAGTTGAGCTAGACATGCTGTAAAAATCTGATCCAACAGTGAACAAATTATTTAACAATCAATAAATTTGATTTTGTTTTGTTATGATGCATAGTATTATAGAAAGGAAGACAGTTTTTCAAGGAAAGAATACAGATTACATGTAGTCTACACTATATTCAGAAGCTTACGTTTTATGCTTGCCGAGTAAAAATAAAAATTAGTAATATGCTATCATTTACACTTAATATTGCACAAAATATGAGTTTGACCTTTGGGAAAAATTACACATTTTTTAAATTTATATATCATTATCATGCATACAATATTCCCATTTTTCGTACTTAAAGCTACATGCTTCCAGATGAGCCAAAATATTTTAAGAAAATCAAACTGTACGTACTTAGATTTTAACAAAAGTAAAAAACTTCAAATTTCAAGTAATAATTTAAATGTTTTTTGCCATTAAGGACTTATCTTCTAGTATTTATCACCATATCTCTACTGTGTGACTAACGCAGTATGGGCTGTTTTTGCATATTTTGACATCTTTTCGGTAATTAATGTAGTGCCATTTGCGATGTATAAATTACTTTCTTTCTTCACTTCATAAAAGCTTACTTTTATATACATTTTCAACATTTTAATGAAAATTATCATGAATCTGGAGGCAAGCTACTTAAATGATTCTTTTACAACTAATGCTAAGAAAACAACAAAATACAAAACTTTGGCAACTTAATGATTAATATGCAATCTGCAAGAAAACAGGTAAACTTTAAATAAAAAAATTACAAGGTCAAAAATGTGAAAATCTTAGAAATTCATACTCTATATTTATTATAACATAAGCTGATAAACAAACAAATTAATGTCCTCAGAATGTCTTCAGTGTTAGGTAATTTCAAAAAGTACCGGGAAAATAAAATTTTCAATATAACTACAACATCTAATGAAAGAACATGTATATTAAAACTTTTATATACTACAGCAATAAATTTTTTTTTATAAACTAACACTGAACACAACAAATAATAAAGGATAATGCTTGTGCATTAGGAGCAAAGACCAAGGAATCATAATTCTTAAGTGTAATAGTGTTATGTCTTATAGAATGTAGAGGAAATGCTGTTCTATAATCCACCATAGCATAACATGGTTACAATTTCAGAATTCTTTGGTTAAACATATTTATGTCAGTACGATGAAAACTTGAGACTATAAGAACTCCTGGAACTAACCAATTTTTGTTTAATGAGAAATCATGATTGTCACCCCTATAGGGCTTGAAACCATAATCCCTGGGGTTGAAAGGCAAATACCTACACCACTAGTCTACCTATCGCTACCCATTCAAATCTTTGAAAGTAAAATAGAAGTTATCACACAAGCTGCACAAGTCTGCATTTTTAAAAATCAATCAATAATGCAATATAAATGATTCAATAATCATGTAAAAAATAAATTATGACAAAAATGAACAAAAGAAGTGCACAAAAAACAAACACCCATTGAGATTCTAAATATTGTAAAATTATTCTACACACAGTAATGTTAAGAGATTCTGGGACTATTTGGGAAAAATAAAACTAAACATAAAACTGTAAAATGAATATAACTACCGCAAAATCATTATTATTCATGGAGTAATAATTTTCATGAATAGGTCAAGATCCAATAAAATTCAATTTTAACTCCCGTAAGATTATTTTGCATAACATTATTTGCATTTTTCTTTCTTTTATTTTTGCAAAAATAGAAAACCATGAATCAAGGAACAATGGAAATTTGTCTTTTTTTACATGTCTTTTATATATTTTATATATATTTTTTTTTTAACAAAACCACAAAATTTCATATCCACAAAATTAAATTATTTTACAGCATTCTGTCAGTAGTAAACATGATTTGTCATGGAAAGTGCTAACAATATGAAAACTATTAAGTGCACATATATAATAATAATTATGCATTTTTACAAATATCTGTGAAAAGATATTTAAACCCTTAACCTGTCATGGCAATAGATTCTACCTATGCCACCAGTGCAGACCAAGGTCATCTGACACATCTATGCCTTCTCATAATGGTCTGCACTGATAGGTACTCATTCAGTATATGGTAATTTAATTATTGTTCCCTATTCAGTCACTACAAGTCACAATATATACTGATGAAGATGCTTCGTATACTAAGACACTGAACTGTCAGTTTGGTGTGAATCAAATTTTGCAAAACATGTTTTCTCTTTAATATTTTAATGACATAACAGAATCTGTAAAAATCAAAATGAAAATTTTTATCATTGTCAAAAGAGCAAACTAAAAATGACCATGATATTTATCCTACATTACCCATACTTACTGATGCTAGAATGAAAAACTGACCGCAAAAATAACATTTTTGTAACAGTTTTATACCTGACCTTTACATAGAGCAAAAATAAGAGATTGATATTTATGGCGAATATATATTTTTGATTCCACTATATTCAGTTAAAATACAAACAATCAAATGTATAGGCCCTAAAAAATGCAAAATAATTGCCAAAAGAGTTCTTAAATACTTTATATCATGTGTATGCATCTTACTTTCATGATATAAAAAATACAAAAGTTGGTCAACAATAAATGTCTTAAGTGGATATATTAAAGCACATTTCTCATTTTCATCAAACATATAGTACATACCCCATTTGAAAATTAAAACAGTAAATATATATCACAATGTTTAAACAATGATCAATTTCATGATTCAGCCTCTTTCTTTGTTACTCGTTTTCTTACAGTCTTTGCCTCATCTCCTGAATTTTCTTCTTTATCCTTCAGTATTTCTTCTTTCACTTCATCCTCTGTGAAAAATAAACAAACATGATTTAATTAAATGTCATCACTTGCCAGTAGCTATTCATGTTTTCAGAGTGTTCATTTACATATTTAGATAAAGGGTCCAAAGTAGTGTTTAGGCCAAACATATATTCCAGCTACCAGCTAGCAACACTTTAACTATTATACATCCAGACACTAGAAATTTATGGAAATCACCATATAAATGCTGATAATAAGTGATATTGAGTAGATTGAATCCATTTTTTTTCCAAATATTATCAGAGCATGTGTTCCTTCCCTACATTCTAAAAGACTCAAGCTGGCACATATATAAAGCTGGTGAGCTTTTGAAGGCTTGCTGGATATTTTTGTGACATGACAGAATTATGAAGTCCCTGATGCGTTTAAACTCACAACATTGAAGGCAATTGATTTAAAGTAAGAGGCCTTCACCAAGCCACAGAGGACCTGACATTTGTCGGTAATTTGTTCAATTGTAAATCACTTTTATCATTATAAAAAGCTAAGTCAGCATTATACTTGGAGCCGTAAACTTTGTATAATAATTATACAGAATAAAAATCAGATCTTAAAACAATACCTTGACATTTTTCATCTTCTTCTTGTTCCACAATTTTGTTCTGATCACCTTCAGATGTCAGTGTTTCTACCTTGGTTGGACTGTTTTCATCACAACTAGACTCACGATCAGATTTGTTTATAATCTCATAACTCTCTGACTCCTCCGATGATCGATCACCACCATTAGAGGGATCCTAATAATATACAAGTTTAATAACATTAGAGAGATCCTAATAATATACATCTTTTATAACATTAGAGGGATCCTAACAATATACAAGTTTAATAACATTAGAGGGATCCTAATAATTAAAACTTTTATAACATTAGAGGGATCCTAACAATATACAAGTTTAATAACATTAGAGGTATCCTAACAATATACAAGTTTATTAACATTAGCGGGATCCTAATAATATAAAAGTTTAATAACATTAGAGGTATCCTAACAATATACTGTTTGTTTCTGTCTGGGTTTTACGTCACATCGACACAGTTTAGGTCATATCGCGATGTTCCAGCTTTACTGGTGGAGGAAGACCTCAGGTGCCCTTCCGTGCATTATTTCAGGCATGAACGGGCTCCTGAGTAGAATCACCGACATTCCGTAAGCTAGCTGGATAGCTTCCTCACATGAAAGAATCCAAAGTCCCTGTCGGGATTCAAACCCACAGCGGTGAGGGGCAAGTAGTTTGAAGTCAACGACCGAAACCACTCAGCCATGGACGCCCCTCCTAACAATATACAAGTTTAATAATGATAATAAATTGCACTTTAACGTTCACATTCTTTGCAGTTTTGGGAGACTGTATCACAGTAAAGATTGAAAATGATGCATTTTAAATAGATCAGCTGATTTTATAAACATCATATTTTGCATCAGATAAAACCATATCATCTACATATACTTAAGTGCATCTTTTTACTATGCAGTACTAAATTCTGCTCACAAAACCCAGTAGTTACTTCTTACACTTATGAAACCTTTTTAAGAAAAGAAAGCATTCATACCGATAGACTGTCATATATACAAATGCATTATACATTTTAGACTGACACACTAATGCACTAGTGTACATACTGAACCATATTTGTGGCAAATGAATTAAGTGAAACACAATCAGGATTACCAAACAAGAGGGCAGCCATGAATTTCAGGGTTCCCGCTGTTGCTCGCCAATGGCGCCAAATGCGACAAAATATTAATTCTGGCGCATAAAATCTTTAATTGGCGAATTTAACTGTCGCCAATGTAAGATAAAAGCATCCGACAACTAGAACACTTAAATATCATAAGCGGCCGCGTCAATTACAGAAGCGGCCCATATGTGAAAGGTCACGCGCTATTAGTTTGTTTATCAAACTGTATAATCAATTATGTCATCAATTGGGTGAGACTTCGGGAATATGTGAAGATGAAAGCGTCAATGTGTTAATTGGAACAATTTACGTGTTTCATTCTCTGACTTGGGGCACTGATAATTACATGTGTGGTCAACAGGTGTTAGTAGCATACAGAGAAGTGAAAGACCGTGATGTTGACAAACATAATTTGAACTTAAGGTAAGTTGACTCTAAACTGATTAAATATAACTACAGTTTGAAATATTAAATCGGATGAAAATTAAAAGAATAATTTCACTAATGATTGATCTAAAGCCACTGTTTACTGCAATGTTAATATTTTCATATCTGAAATATTATGTAAAGTGCTGAGGTGTCTATTCACATGCAAACCCTATTAAAATAAATAATATTCTTCATTGTTAAAAATTATTAACTTAGTATCATTCTATTTCATTTTTTGTTCTCATTGATTTTTAGATGAAGTCAATTTATAGTATTTTTTATTTTTTTATTTGTATCTGTAGATCACCAGATTGTCGGGTAGAAGCTGGGAAAGATCTTGGCTCAGTCCAGCCTGTGAGAAGAACTGCTATAGGCAAAACGGTGGAAAACAGGACCTCCCAACCTCATGACTAACTTAACATGATGTTTTTGATTACATTTATGTTGCCATGTGTATTTATTTAAATGGAATTTGAAAACCACATAAAACTATGTCTATATTTTAGATAATAAACATGTGCAGCTGTAATAAAATGAAATATTATAAATATGTGTTTGTAATCATAGTGATATATAACTGCTAGCATATCTTAGCAAAGATAGGCATGTCTCCCTTGCAGAATTATTGGCTCCAACTTTGGAGCCATTGGCTCCAACTTTTTCTGATTGGCGAATTTGGTGGCACAAACTAATTTTGACCCAGAGGGAACCCTGAGTTTAACAGTACAGTTGAGTTTAACCAAATATATCGATGCTCCAAAAAGTAACACCTAAGAGTAGAAAAAATGTGCAAATATTGAAAGTTGAAGGGGTAAAGAGTCAAACTCAATGAGATCATAAATGATACAGTGTGTTAGCATTATCAACATGCATTTTGTGAATGAAAGGGAGATAATTGCATGTAAAGTAGGCGACCAAAACTACAAATACAAACAGCACACTGTTTGTTTGATTGCGTTTTACATCATACCGACACAGTATAGGTCATATGGCGATGTTCCAGCTTTACTGCCCTTCCATGCATTATTTCATGAATGAACCATCACACGAGTAGAACCACCAACATTCCTTAACCTAGCTGGATACTTCCTCACATGAAAGAATCCAAAGATTAGAATCCACAGCGGTAAGAGGCAAGTGATTTGATTTCAATTCAGCACACTGTACAGACATACCATAAAAAGTCAACTGTTCTGGAGAAGTAGCCTAAAGACAAGACAGACAAACAGATGAAGCATAGACAAAACATTCCCAATCCCAAAAGTGTACATATTATAGGATTTGAACAGGATTTTGACTGCAGGGATTACCTTTTTATCTTCAGTTTTCTCTGTAGTTTTTTCTTCAGGTTTAACATCTTTACTAGTTTCTGTTTTGTCAGTGGGAGCATCAACAACTTTGGTCTGTACAGCTTGCATAGCAGCTAATATCTTGGTCATTTGTGCCTCGGTCTCCGCAAGTCTCTCTTGTAACTTTCTCATGTCCATCTCCTCTGTTAACATAAATATATTATAACATTTTATTTAGTTAAACTTCCTAATAAATAGTCATTTAAAATAATTAATTATCACTGACTGATATAATTATTTATATAAATACTTAATAAATTAGTTTATAAACTTGTACACCATTTTATTTGGTTTGGTTTTCAAGTATTTTCATACTAAAGTTTTTGGAATTCATAGTGAAAATTAATTTCTTAAACCTTCTATTATAATACATTATGGTTTCATTGATAAACACAAAACATTGAGACAAAAAGACAACAATTTTAAGTCACTGTAAAACAAAATAAAAATGTTTGATATCTTTGAGCCATGTAATAAATACTTTTATAATATTATAATTGGACAAATTCAATTACAACAAGAGTGCCATTGTCACAAAAACTCCCTTCATGCTTGGAGACAAAATATTAAACTATTACATTAAAATCCTTTATCACACACCCGTGCCAATTTTGCGACTCTGTAAAAATTGTATTGCATGCCCGTGAATATATTTTGACATGACGTCATTAGCGTTATACAAACAGAGTGTAAAGACGTGTTAAATGTCAGCATTATACTATATACGAGGGTTGTTCGGGAAGTTCTGGGAATTTTGTCATATCTCCTATATTTTTTGTTTCTAAGACGTAATATTTTGCACATACTAAGATTAGCATATCACGGAACTATTCCTAAAAATTGAATAGAATCAGACAACAATAGCCGGAAATAGCAGTAACCATAGCAACACTATAACGCCGCACCGGAGCAGTCCGACTCTAAAGAAAGGTATAACGCGCTACACTAATAATATTTCGTAATTTTGATAACGTAAAAAATGCGCGAAAACGCTGGTCAGCAGCGGAACGTCATGACGTCATTTCCTGAAAATATCATAACGTTATTTAAATTCTCAACGGATCAACATTGTTTTAAAGTTGTTGCCCAGAGCCACTGAGTAAACAACATGACATCGATAGGTGACGTTGAATTGCGAAGCATCGTGAAATTTTGTGTTGCGCTGGAAAAGTCTTCCACAGAAACAATGAAAATTATCAATTCTACAGGAAAAAACAAGAAATGCAGTCCGGCTACAGTGTGTAGATGGCATGCTCGTTTTAAAGAAGGAAGAAACCCTCCATACAGCCCTGACCTCGCTCCGATGGACTTCCGTGTGTTCCCGGAGCTCAAATCACAGCTGCGTGGAAAACACTTTGACTCAGCTGACAATCTTGTTAAGCATACGCAAGCTATAGTCTCGTCCTTTACCGATAGCTGGTACGTGGAAATATACAATAAGTGGATCAGCTGACACAGGAAATGCATCGAAATTGCAGGTGACTACGTTGAAAAGGTGCGACAATCGATGGACTTTAACGTCGCATAACGTTGCAAATGACGTCGGCATGCTCCGGGTGTTTGTTATATGGTTATTTACTATTTTTATTATGTTTTAGTTTCTGTGTGTATGATGATGATATTTTCAGATACTGTACAGTATATATTGAAATAAATGCGTATATATTTATATGTACGCTTACCCGACTACAGCGTGTGCTATAAAACAATTCTCAGAACTTCCCGAACAACCCTTGTATAGGCCCGCCAATAAAAAAATAACTCTTTTTTCACATGGTCTTTATTTTGGATATGTGATAAATAGAATATTATATTTGTGTCAGTTCATTTCTGAATTTATTGAACTCGTTGAGAGGCTCGCATAATATAATTTTATTCAACTTGTGCAATAAATTCAGTATTGAACTTACACTCATTCAATATCCTCTATACACTGCATAAAGTCTAAATGATCAATACTCATATTGTCGTTTTCTTATCTGACCTTTGAGTCTTCGACCTTTGTATATGACCTTGAACTTGTTTAAAGGAACCTAAATATTGTTCACCAAGGGGCAGGAAAGTGGTTGCACACTTGGTCAAAGTGAGAAATTTGATAGCAAACTTGACACAAGGGGTACCTAGTCATCAATTTTCATAACACTCATACTTATTTTCTTAAGGTAAGTGGGTTTGTATGTAAATTTGGAATTTTTAAATATGCACCTTCCTTAAAGCCATGTTTATGGCACACTCAGTTTAAGGTCTCAGCTTTCTAGCTTTTGAATTGATGAAGTTATTGAAGATATAAATTGGTCGTATAGATATCTTGAGATTTGACAAGTTACAATCCAGGGCGGTTTTTATGCTCATTTATTCACAGCTGTAAGTTTTATAGTTCACCAAACAAGACAAAATAAGTATCTGTCAATTATGTGTTAATGATTTAACTTGCATGTTTCACCAAAAGCTTCAATACACAAAAATATCTTATTCAAGCGCACTTTGGTTGAAAACTTGTACACGTAAGCATTTCTGGTTGCAGACTTAATATTCGTCAAATTGGAATTTTCAGATATTTATCAGGTTAAAGACAATCCATTTATTATCATCATTTGTTCAATGTGATTTGTATCAATGTAAACTGACAGTCATATGACACCTGTGTGGACAATCTAATACAATTCATACCATACAATCTCTTTATTAAATAAATATAAACAGTCATCTGTTTCTAATTGCATTTCTGATAAATCAATTTATTTCACTCCCCATGGTAAAATTGTCCATTATGATTACATTTAAAATTTACAATTCATATCTGAAACATAATCAATATTGGACTCCATTAAGTTACGTATTGGTTTATCATACTTGGTCTTCTTTCACTAATATTGACTGATATTGTAACACATACTAACAGATATCCTGTCATAATTTCAAAGCTTTATTTGAAGTATGCTTACAAATCTAATGCGATTTGTTGGGCTTTTTTTTGGTCGACTGTGTAAATGCTAAATGGCAACTTTCTAAATTTACTGGTGCAAGAAAACCTCTGGTCCCAGTTTATGTATTATCTCAGGTACAATAATTAGTATTTGAGTAGAACAACCCAAGTGTGAATAAATCTAAGAGTGTTAATTATACAATACTGCATAACCAACATATACTATCTAAATGCACTAAATTTGGCATGAACTAAAATTCAAATTTAATAATGAAATTAATAAATCTGTGTCTGTAAAAGCAACTTAGGATAATAAAACATACATAAAATGACTTGGTTAATAGTACTATTAAAAACCTTTCAAAGGTTGAAATATCAGTACAATTGTATGATTTCAAAACACTTGAATTGTTGAATGATATAAACATATGAGGCATTGATATATGAGCCGCGTCATGACAAAACCAACATAGTGCGTTTGCGACCAGCATGAATCCAGACCAGCATGCCCATCCGCGCAGTCTGATCAAGATCCTTGCTGTTCGCTATCAGTTTCTCTACTTGCTATAGGGTTTGTAAGCGAACAGCATGGATCCTGATCAGACTGCGCGGATGCGTCTGAATCCATGCTGGTCGCAAACCCATTATGTTGGTTTTGTCGTGATGTGGCTCATATATTGACTGAAGTTTCACACAGAGTATCATATTGATAATGTAAGCAGCAGTAAGCTTGTAACAATATGAACATTGTTATCTATTCATCTCTACTGACAATTCTGGAATTAAAGTCACTCCAATATTCTAATGATAACATGGTCATATTGATTTTACTTGCATCACACATTGGGATTCTACATTAAAATGACAGATAAAACATCATAAAATGCTTGAATACCAATCAAAGAATGTAGAATAGACTACAAACTACAAAATGCCACAACATTAAATGTGAGGTACAGGGCTTTTTTCCCTTCTATAGTCCACCACAAAGGTTCTTTAAAATCATGCAGTTTTTCCCAAAAAGGCAATTTAAAACAAGTTTTTTTTCCCCTTTTGCAAAATTACCATATAATTTCCACTTAATTAAAGGGTAATGCCCTTTCCTCTACCTGTGAAAAAAAAAGCTCTGGGTTATATAAAACACCATGCAGGGTATGGGGGATTGGGGGTTGAGGGGGGATATTTTAAAGTAGGATATAGACAATGGTAAGAAATAAAATGATTCTGAAGAATAAGTCCTGCAATTATCAGAAAACACACTGAATAATGTTACAACATCTAAGATGAAAGTAATCAACAGATTTACATGTAATATTCTACACAATTCTACAGTGTTAAAGGGGCTCCACTGAGGTTTAAAAGCCTAAAAACATAACATTTGAATTTCTTACATAATTGAGCTGCGGGACTTTAAACAGAAATATATGCTAAAATAGTTAAGAAATATAGTTTAAAACAAATTGAAAATCATATTTTTATGCTTTTCTTAGCAATGTGTTTAAACGCTTTTCATTTTGGGTCATTTTTTTACAATTTGAATAATTATTTTTGAAAAACGAAGCGTGCGAATGATCTGAAATTTTGCACAAAGATTTGTGGTCTAAACCTACATCAAATGGTACATTTAGCTGGAAAAAATATTTTCAGTCCCATCATGTCAAAAAACCTCAGTGGAGTTCCTTTAACCCATTACCCCATGAGCATTTTGTGAAAAATGGCTGTTTTCATTGAAAAGTCTCCCGTTACAAGTTCAAGTTGCTATAAAACTATAAAAACTGCTTCAATACTAATCAAACTTGGCACAAATGTTGACTGGACCATTGCCTTTGTAACAACATGCTCAGTCTTAAATTTCCTGTTACCATGGCAACTAGGGGACATCTCAAAATTGCCAAAAATCACTATTTTGCGTTGATTTTTTCCATCAAAATTGATTTCAAAGTGCTGCCACTTCTCAATGGATTGAGAAAGAGTCAAAGGCTTTTCAGCATTGGTTACACGTTACCTTATAATCGACCTGGGGTCATTTTTAGCCTCTCACAAGTCCAAAATTTTTTTGAACAACATTTCTAAAACAAAAACAAGTGTTTGGGGCCTAAAATAGGCATTTTTTCACCATTTGAGAAAGCAAAAAGGGGGGCGGGGTGAAAAAGGCTAGAAAGGCGTATATATCTGGTAATGGGTTAATAGGGATAAAAAATCAGCAAAATAATAATGTTGTGGAATTACGTGCAAATATTTAAACAAGAAGGCCATGATGGCCCTGAGATCGCTGACCTGTATATAGGCCCCCGGAGCAGGGCCAGTTTAAACCCCAGGGCTTTTATTTGAACAAACTTGGAAGACACCCATTAGAAGATGTTTCATGATGTTTAGTTTTTACTACACACATATAATGAAAAACAATTACCTTTGTGACAGGTGAGCTAAAAAGATTAGGGATTTCAAACTATTTTATAATTAATCAGTAAATAGTGATTTATATTGGATAATATCATAATAAACCCCTCTTGTCTTTTTTAGATAGTTTTCATAATACCTAGTTTTGGTACATTATAGTCATGACTCATGTGAGAGAGTGTTTACTGTTATGACATCATCATTTGAGGAACTATGGCAACATTGGCTATACAAATACCACTCTCATAAGGGTCTACATATCAACATACAAAAAAACAAAACAACATTAAACAAGTTAATTGTTACAACAATTAATAAAAGGAAATATCTAGGTACCTAAAAAAGAAATTGCTGAAACCATTCAGAAAAACATGCGGATATAAGTAGAAATACATTTTAATGTTTTTGATATGGGAACAACACTGCAAGTAGGCTGGAGATATGAGTAGAGACACGACACTAGGCTACATACACACACCACTCAGCAAGCTTACTCATATCATTGCCTTTCACAGTATTAGCTAACGAATGAAGCTTCTCAAGCTGGCCTTTTAAATCTTGTTCTGTTAAAGTATCGCCTTTCTTCCCCGATACTCTACCTTGCTCATCTCCTTGTTGTCCTACGTCATATTCTGAACGTGGCTCTCTACTAGGGCTGCCTCTTCTACTACCACTCTTGTCATTCTTTCCAAACACCTTTACAAAATAATCAAATGTATTAGTATAAAGCTACAGTGTAAATATCCACATGCATTTACAGAGACATGTGAGCTTTAAGATGTATCCCTACATACAAGCTTGCAGGGATTGTACATTCAAGCCCATACTTTTAGAGCTCTTACATTTGAGCCCATACTTATAGGGCCCATACTTATAGGGATCATACATTCAAGCCCATACTTATAGGGGGCATACACTAGAGACAATACTTGAAGGGATCAGAGACTCAAGCTCATACTTGGGATCCAATCTGATTAAAATTAGCTCCTAATTAATGCTATGCATTATGCTATGGATCTAATGGAAACTAATAGGAGGTCATTTTATGTGACCTTTCAAAGAGCCAATCATTGGCAACCTTTCACAATTTTGAAAGCAATGCAGTTTCTAATTTTAACCCGCTGGAAAACCAATTACATTTGTATACTGAGTAGGTAATTTGCACCATCTCGAGAACAAATATGGTGTTGTCCATATAGCTGGCAGGTAAACTGGCAAAACAATTGGAAGGTATAGTACATACAAGCTTTTACTTGTAAGGTTCTTAGATTTGAGCCATTTTCAGTCACATCAATGTTTTCTAGTGAGACAAGACCTGGTAAATTCTAATCAAAGAGCTACAAAGTAATTATAGTTACAAGAACTCATAAATTTCACAGTCAAGCTTATGTAGTATGCATGTTTAACCTAAACATTAACAAAGATAATGAGCTTAAACTCCTAAATAAGATTAAAAAATGTCCAAACTAGAGTTACATGAAAAAAAAAATGTTTTTGAAACATCGCTAAAGTCTTGCTTGAAGTACTTCTAAAATCCACCAGACTATAGGGTATTTATCTTTACTTTTAGTACTCAATCACTCATAAGAATATACATAAATTTGTCAAACAAGTAAGCTAAGAATAATAAACATTGAAACATTATCATATAAAATTTATAAAATCAAAAAATATTTAATTACAGTGATTCTCATACCTTAAACAGGGTATAGACAAGATAAACTACTATTCCAACAGCGTACATAGGTAGTATAACTCCCATCATGCCTCTGCCTGAACCTTTTGTCTGTTTAGATTGTTCCGCTGCCGCTGCTCTCATTCCAGGATGAGGACCATGCTATAATCATATTTGCAATTAAGGTTAATAACTAACAAGAGGGCCATGATGGCCCTGAAGTCGCTCACCTGTATATAGGCCCCCCGGAGCGGGGCCAGTTTAAACCCCTGGGCTTTTATTTGAACAAACTTGGTAGACACCCATTAGAAGATGTTTCATGCTAAACATCTAAGGTCTATCTCGTTGGGTTTTTTAAAAGAAGATTTTTTAAGTTTTTTCTTTACACATATATTTAAAAACAATGACACCCCTGGGGCGGGGCCAGTTTTGACCCAGGGCTTTTATTTGAACAATCTTTGTAGACACTTACTAGAAGATGTTTCATGCTTAATATCTACACTCTAGCTATTCGGGTTTTTTCGAAGAAGATTTTTAAGTTTTTGCTATACACATATAAGGAAAATCAATGTCCCCTGGGGCGGGACCAATTTTGACCCCAAGGCTCTTATTTGAACAAACTTGGTAGACATCCATTAGAACATGTTTCATGCTAAATATCGTAGCTCCAGCTCTTTGGGTTCTTTAAAAGAAGATTTTTAAGTTTTTACTATATGCATATAGGAAAATTCAATGACCCCCTGGGGCGGGGCCAGTTTTGACCCCAGGGCTTTTATTTCAACAACTTGGTAGACACCCATTAGAAGATGTTTCATGCTAAATATCTTAGCTCTAGCTCTTTGGGTTCTTTAAAAGAAGATTTTTTAAGTTTTACTATATACATATAGGGAAAATCAATGACCCCCTGGGGCGGGGCCAATTTTGACCCCAGGGCTTTTATTTGAACAAACTTTGTAGACACTCACTAGAAGATGTTTCATGCCAAATATCTAAGCTCTAGCTCTTTAGGTTTTTTAGAAGAAGATATTTAAAGTTTTTTCTTTTGGTTGCCATGGCAACCACAGTTCTGCATGGAATTAAATTCTTTGAACAATTTTCAAAGGTGACCACCAAAGGAACATTCCTGTGAAGTTTGGATGAAATGAGAAGATGTCATTTAAAGTAAAAGTTTACGGACGCCGGACGGACGCCGGATGGATGGACGGACGCCGGACGAAAAGCGATCACAAAAGCTCACCTTGTCACAAAGTGACAGGTGAGCTAAAAATATATAATTTGAAAATGTTATGGTGTTATGGCTGTTATGCAATTCACTTCTCAATAAGATGAAAAGATTTATGACTGTGAATGTTTAAGATACTAATAATTACATGTATTCAAGTTTTTTTCCATTGAAAAAATGGGGAAAAATGAGATATTAAATGATATTTTGACCTTTACCTGTGCACTTCTATTTACACTTTGATGGGTATAATGACCAGAATAATAGAATAATGCCTCTTTTTTTAAAATTACTCTTGCTCTTACTTTTTAAGTTTTTGAATCCTACTGGCAGCCCTGATTTTTCAACACATAAAACAATAACAACAGTAAGGGAAATCTAGATCAATTAAATGTGCAATGAAATAATGACATAATTTTCCCAAAAAAAAAACAAGAGGCTAGCACCTCTTCCAAATTAAGTGAGAAAAATAACTGAATGACAATACTCACTCTCATTTTCTTTATATGATCTGGCAAATCTCCTCCAGGACCACCCATACCTGGCCTGTCTCTCAAAGCAGGTGGAACAAAATCTGAAAATAAAAATGTTTAAATGTTTAAAGGAATGTTAGATACATGCAAAACCTTGATAGAAACACTGATTTTTCAGATGTACTTTTTGAAAGCTTACCATGCATACTGAAAAATTTAAAGCTCTTCAACAATTTATTTAAATCACTAAATATGTTCTCTGTTCAAAAACTTGCATTCAATAGTGATGGGAGACCAGTCTATTGTCTATAGAAATTCTTCCGCTTAATAAATCATTTTTGGTTTAGTCAGGTGTTCCATTTAAATTTTGAACCTATTCCATCTGCTATGCATACAAAAAAACAATAAACAAAATTTATGTCCCTCCTGCATTTCAAACAGTTCATTTATACCATTATAGTCAGATTTCTACAAAAAAAATAATAAAGTGATGATAGTGATCTAAATATCTGTTTAGCAATAATTCAGTGACTTAATACACATAGGTGCTTTTACCAATTTTTGCATAGCGTGCCATCATTTAATTGCTGATTGCCTTTAACCCTCATCAGCAGTAAATGTGCGTACTTGCAAGCATGAACTTTGGAAAAAAATCATTTTCATTGTAATTTCAGCATGAAATACATTTGTATGTAGGATTGTGCATGACTTGGCATGCTGGTTTAATGTCAGTTCCAGACCTACAGTTGGTTAATTATCTAACCGATCTAAGGAATAAAGAGTTGCTACTCACTTCTGGCTTCCAAAACTTTATAAGCCGCTATTTAACATTTTTGTTTTTCATCTGATTCTGATGCGGCATTAAAGTTTTGGATTAGACCCTTTTACGAAACCTAACCAGATTAACATAAGTTGTTTAACCTTATTTTTCACTTACAAATACACTTGACCCAATCAATTCTTGTGCATTTAATGATAAAACAATTATTTTAACATTGTTCTATACCAAGTATCAAAATATTAATACCGTCATTAAAATTGCCTATTTAACTGTAAAACATCAATTATGTTGATTACAGTCGGCCATGACATTTAGGTGCCACGTGTCGTAGGGAAAGTCAACCAATAATCATATTCAATCATCGAACATGCCATGAAGTAAAGTGAAGCATACCTTGATAAAACTATATATAATCTGTTGATAAGCCAAGGATGGACAAATAAAAACCTTATTACGAACATAAACTACCTAATAGTTTCCAACAGGTAAAAATTTCGGCACTTGGCCGCCATATTCAGGGCCAAAATACCATTTTTGGGGAAGGGGCCTCAGCCTTTTTCTTTGGGAAAGTATGCGTGATTTTGGCATACTTTGGGAAAAGGGGTCTCAAATTAAACACAAACTTTTAACAAGTTCTTCAAAATAGACAAGCAAAAAGCACTGGGAAAACTAATAAGGCAGTAAAAGCTGCGACAGACTTAAAACCTGTGACAATTTAATGAAAATGATTACCTAAATACACAGACGCTTGGGGGTCAGATCCTGCCCCCCCCCCCAACGTGATACGCCCCTGTAAACACTCTACCAAAACTATTTTAATATCTAAACACGAATAGGACATCTATTACAACGATAAAAATGGTTTTCAAACAATTTTTACATATATGAAAAAAATACCGTATACCATCAAGTCTCAATAAAGTAAAGATTGCAGACTCCAAAATGTAAACACGATAACCCTTGTATAATAAAACCTTTATAAATCATTATTAAATGAACCTTACCGTGACTTTTCCGGTGTAAATCAATAGAAAATAGAATTATTTCCTAGATGCAATCAGAATAAACATTTATACATCTCATTGTAATATGAAAATTAACATTTAATTAAAACCGAAAGTAAATTTTGCGTTCTGTCCAACCAATACGAGACCTGAACCCGGCTCTGCGTGGAGCGCTTGTCAAGCCGGTATCCAAACGGTGTACATGCTTTCGACTAGATATCTACTCGAGTATTATATCCTCATGTCCCGCGTATTAGCTGTCTGCAAACGCTCGTTTAAAAGACATTTATTTGTAATAAAACTATTACCAAGATGCACAGTGTGTTGTTTCCCAAGTTTTTTTTTTAATCTTTATAATGTACATTTTAAATATTTGAATTTGGACATGAGGATAAAATGCTGGAGTAGATATCTAGTCGAAAGCATGTACACCGTTTGGATACCGGCTTGACAAGCGCTCCACGCAGAGCCGGGTTCAGGTCTCGTATTGGTTGGACAGAACGCAAAATTTACTTTCGGTTTTAATTAAATGTTAATTTTCATATTACAATGAGATGTATAAATGTTTATTCTGATTGCATCTAGGATGTAATTCTATTTTCTATTGATTTACACCGGAAAAGTCACGGTAAGGTTCATTTAATAATGATTTATAAAGGTTTTATTATACAAGGGTTATCGTGTTTACATTTTGGAGTCTGCAATCTTTACTTTATTGAGACTTGATGGTATACGGTATTTTTTTCATATATGTAAAAATTGTTTGAAAACCATTTTTATCGTTGTAATAGATGTCCTATTCGTGTTTAGATATTAAAATAGTTTTGGTAGAGTGTTTACAGGGGCGTATCACGTTGGGGGGGTGGGGGGCAGGATCTGACCCCCAAGCGTCTGTGCCTAAATATCATGATACTGAAAATTCCAGCAGAATCTGGTCGCGAAGATTACTGGAGGTTACGTACCACGGAGGATACGTACCAGGAGGTTACGTACCATTTTTGGAGGTTACGTACCACTTATATATTTTGGAGGATACGTACCATATATATAATTTATATAAAATACAAATAATATAGAGCATAACAATTATAAAAAAAGACCGAATTTTAAAACTTTATTATTACTTTTTAAAAATCACATATGAGCAATTAATGTAAATGCAAACGTTTTATATATGATTATCACACATTCAGAAATGAGTAATCTAACAAATCACAAACAAATTGCAAACTATTGACATTTGAGTGAATCAGTGTGGTATTAATTATTTATCACAACTCTGATCCGGCTTTGACGTGTAACTCAAACTTTAAATGAGTGAACTCTAATAAACATATAAATATACTGCAATTCTTGTCCGATATCACAACTGTAATTACTTACAGAAAGCAGTATGACGGAATCAGCCCACTGTTTAGTTTGTTCTAAAGAAGTTACAAGAAAACAACATGCTTTACAATGCGACCAATGTAATAATTGGCAGCATCGTTTATGTGGGACAGGTAGTCTTTTTAATTTTATTAATTATTATAATGTTCATAAAAAAATAATTACCCTCTAATAATCCATTATTATGTAAAGATTTAAGTAAATAAATCAATCTTCTTGATGATTATTTATATCATACTATCATACAATTGAATAAAGATTCTGTTTACGTTTCATTTTTTCAATTTATAACTATTTATATAACTTTATTTATTCAGGAATAACACAGTCAGATTACAGGATGATGGTGCGTGGTGTTATTGAGGTCGAGTGGAGCTGTAGCATATGCAAGTCTCCGGTAAGTAATACTGATGAATTTAATTTAATGAAATTTCGCGGCGATCAACTTTTACACAAAACATGCATGCATAATTTCTTTCTTAAAACCTATTTAATTTAATTTCAGGTTGTTGACAACTCACAAGAAGAAGAAGACCACCTTCAAATTCCAGCAATGTTACACGACATTACGAGTGCTGAATCTGACCTGATGGAAGTCGAGCAACGGGTGACCACAGATGAACTTGAAGATCGACCACTTAATATACCTGATAGGGATGTTCAACGCCCTGCTAGAATACTAGATGTGTAAGTTTATTCTTATATGTGAATTTCTGAAATGCGAATCTGAAATTATAATCGAAACAAATAAAAAACATTTTTTTTTTATTCCAGATCAGTACGTGAACCACATGGATGATGACGTCCCAGAAGAACATGACATTCAATATGAGCTAGTGGAAAAGGGAACCAAGAAAGGAGGGAAAATGTTGACCGCAAAAAACGGGTATTGTTTTAACGTAAAAGTGAGTATTTATCGTCAAAAGAAAAAAAATCAAAAATCATCAAAATTTTTATCATAATATCATATTATTAATATTAATATTTTCAGAGAGTATTTATCGTCAAAAGAAACAATCATCAAGATAATATGTTTCTATCATAACATATAATATATCATATTATTAATACATGTATTAATATTTTCAGAGAAAGAAAGACAACTTCACATACTGGGTGTGCAGCGTGCGAAGTTCCGATGTCCAGCATGGGTCAAACAGTACAGCGATACATATGTAGCATCTAGCAGCGGTCATGAACACCCCGCCGATCCTAGCATTAGGGTTAAGGTAAAGGTCACAGCGAAGGTAAGTTTATCATCGGGATGATTTTTTTGAAATATCAATTTCTATTGACGCATCGCGAATATTTATGTAAATTCGTGTTCATCAATTAATTTGGTTGTTTTTTTATTTCTGGCTGCAAGAAATATCCACGTTCCTGCTGCTAGACTAGTTCAGGAAGCTGTCACAGAGGCTGTCACATCTGACCTACCATTTGTTCCAAACATAGACAACATAACGAGGGCAACTAACTTATTTCGTCAGAAAATGCGCCCATCTGAACCATAATTATTGTTATTTTCATTTTATGCACAGTTCGGTTAACGTGTAAATAAAACTTGTAAATGTAAACTTGTCATCGTTTGTTCGTTTCAGTTTTGTGTTGTAAATAAAACTTGTTTATTATCGTTAATTGGTTTGTTCTTTATTCTTTTATATTCATACATATTTAATCTCATTACAAAATTAATACAATTAATGCGCGAATTTGAACAATAAACCTGATAGTTTCACACCTTATCCCTTATTATCACTTTATTATATATTTCTATAGTGGTACGTAACCTCCAAAAATGGTACATTTATGCAGTGGTACGTAACCTCAGAGCAACAGATAAGGTGCGTATTTGCGTATTTACGCAATTAATTTTACAAAATACGCAATTGGTCATTTTAAGATGCGTATCAAAACTCATTAAAAAAAATAAGATACGCAATTGTCTTTAAGATTAACGCGTATTGACATTTTTGTCCCTGCTGCCGACTAAAGTTAACTATAGGGATGTTATCCGAGAATTCCCAAATATAAATAAAGGCTTACTCAATGACTATTCCGGTCTTCGACGGACCCCGGTCTCCAAAGACCACCGAATACTTATAATACTACGGCGCCTAAGATCAGCGGTTTTTGTATACCGGCAGAGACCGTTTATTTTGAGACCGTTGATAAGTAGATATTCATCTGTATCAATAGAAGCATACAAAGCAATATGGCGGCGTATTTACGAGGACGAAAAAGAAAACAACAAGATTTGAAGCAGAACAGTTTAATTACTAAATTCTACCAAAGTAGCAATTTCATTTCGCAGCGGGAACAAGATGTAAAAATTATTTTGAACGATCTAGTATCAAATTGTGTCAAAATTCCGCCAGAACAGGACATTGTTGGAAATATTTTAGACGATGTATTGAGTGCAATATTTCAGAACGTTAACAAAAAACTGACACATTCGGGCGAACGCGTGAATAAAAAAACACAAATGGAATGGACAACTAAGTTTCCATGGCTACTTATTGAAGGCGAGTCAAGTGAAATGAAACTATTTTGCAGCATATGTAAAGCAAAGAAAGACATATTAAAACTAGCTAGTGTATGGGCGAACGATGGCTGTCCTAACATACAAATTTCAAGTATTGGAAGACACAATCTAAGCACTGAACATAAAAATGCATGTAGTTTCACTGAAAAGGAAACGAAAGTGAATGAAATTATAGAAGCTGAAAAATTGGATCATAGTAACAGTAATGTCATTATTTCACCTGAAGATAAAAAACTTTTCAATACAATTTATTTTGCTGCAAAATCAGAGTTACCATCAGCATGTATTAATGGATTACTTTCCTTACAGTTACTTAATGGTGTGGACATGAAGTACAGAGATCTGAGTTGGGACACGATAACTGAAATTCAGAGTTCTATATGTCAGGTTTTAAAAGATAATGTTGTTACTGAAATTAAACATTCAAAATATTTTGGATTGATGTTAGATGAAAGCACTGATGTAACAGTGGATAAAAGGCTTTCCATATGTATTCGCTATGTTAAAGGAGGGGAAGCAGTGACAAAATTTCTTTGTAATGTTCCTGTTGATGACGGCTGTGCACATACCATAATGAACTGTGTAGCAGACACAATGGATCAACTAGGTATACCTCTTCACCTTTGCACATCACTTTCAACTGATGGTGCTGCAACCATGATAGGAAAACGTACCGGTGTTGGTGTTCAACTCCAGGCCAAGTTCTCCCCATTCTGTGTCCAAACTCATTGCGTGGCACACAGACTTAACCTTGCCTGCACTGATACAATCAAGAAAAGTGAGTATATGGTTAAGTTCAGAGATAAGTTTAATTCCCTCTACTTTTTTGTGAGTGCATCTAGTTTGCGGACATTGGCTCTGAAAAGAATTCAAGAAGTCCTACAAGAGCCAGAATTGACAGTAAAACAACCACATTCTATAAGGTGGTTAGGACTGAAAAATGCAGTTGAGGCAGTTTTCCATTCCTACTCGGCAGTGATTGCAACTCTATCTAAGTTTGCTGCTGAAAAGAATCCAGTGGCAAAAGGTTTACACAAATACTTTAACTCTTATAAAGTTGCACTGGTAACTGCATTCATGCTAGATGTCCACAGTGAATTAGCTGTACTGAGCTGTCAGCTGCAGAAACAGAACCTATTGTTCAGTGAAATAAATCCATTGGTAGATGGTACTCTGGCAAAACTTAATAGCTTGGTTTCTTCTGATGGAGAAGCACTTCATGAAATTAAACAAAAAATCTTAATTGAAAATGATGAGGCTAGTTATAATGGAGAGAAATTGTTTTACAATAAGAATATGGAAAAAGAGTTTGAATCATTAAAGTCAGAATATCTAAAGAAAATGAAAAAGAATATTAAAGAAAGATTTAAGAAGAAAGATATGGATATATTTGATGACTTAAGTAAAGTGCTAGAGCCAGAATTTGTGGTTAGTGTAGACAAAAGTGATACAGAGGGAGCAGTACAGCACCTGGCTACATTCTATGGCTATGAGAAAACAGTGAAAGTTGTAGAAGGTAACTTGATAGAGGGTACAGTTGAGCATGAAACTATTATTGAGCCCCTTCTAGATCCTATCAAGTTAGAACAAGAATGGCAAAGGCTGTATGGAATGATTAATGGGGCATATGCATCTCTGACACCACATAAATTGTGTAAAAGAATAATTCTTCTCCATTCAGATTTATTACCAAATTTTGCAGCTCTTGCATCTATTGCATTATGCATGCAACTGACAAGTGTGGAATGTGAGCGCAGTTTCAGCGCTCAAAATCGTTTAAAGAATAAGTACCGGTCATCTCTTGGATCAGAAGCATTAGACACTCTTTTGACAATCAGTATGTTAGGACCATCTGTGAATGATTTTGATACCAAACCAGCCATCACCCTTTGGCTTAAAATGAAGAAAAGGAGGAAGGGAAGATTGTTCTCTGAATATAAGCCAAGAGCTAAAAAGCAGAAACTTTGTTAAATTAGTATTAGTGTTTCCTTGATCACTCCAGGCTTTATAGGAAATAAAAACATTGAGATGATTGCACTTTCAATAATTTGATTTGAAATGGACAATTGTACTTAATTGAACTCTAAATATCATTTGTATGCTATATGTTAAAACAGGTAGTTTTTACAAAGTTACTTTTAGTCTGGCATAGATCTGATTTATGCATAGTTAATAAAAAATAAAACAGTTGTGAAAAGTTTTAGTAAACAAACGTTTTAGCTTCATTAGTATTGAAACCATGAAATTCATATCTTCATAATTAAATACCCAATTGATCTTAAAATCATAGGATAACTGGTTTTAGAATACCCAATTAAATAGAGCCAATACCCAATTCCAAATGAAATGATGGAGTAATACCCAATTCACTTCTAAAGCTTATCTGTTGCTCTGAACCTCCATGGTACGTAACCTCCAAATTCCGTCGCGAATACTAATGACAAAAAAGCTGTCAGACAAAATAACGGAACTTACCATCCGCCTTTTGGTCTTTTGGCGAGGTATTCATTCCAAGTAATGTCATGAATACAGGATGCAGTAACTTTGGGTAAAGGAATAGGAAACATCCTAGTATAACGGCAATAGAGCCATAGATACGAATCGTCTGAAAATCCATTTCTGTACACAAATATTGATTTCTCGTAATTTCCCGTTCTAGTCACGTGACATTAAAAAAGAATTAAAAAATAAACAGTTTAAAGAATAAATTTCATTATCTGTTCATATGGTCCCTTTTTAAAGATTTCGTTTATTTTTATCATAGAAAATAAAGAATTGAAAAGTGCGATATTTGCCATTACTTATCAGAAAAATTATTTGAATAAACTCGAGATTCAAAATGGGATCCAACATGGCGCTCTCCTTGAAAGAATTAGCATCTCTTTTAAGGTCTATTTTCTTCAAAATATCTCAATAGTTGATTGATCTAATTTAAGTTTGCTATTGTATATGCTAAAATCTAAGTAGGAACACTAATGTCATAAGATATTTACGTACATATCATTATTTTATACGTATTTGAAAATTTCAATTTGAGTTGTTTCATTCAAAATTGTGGGTGGGGTAATTATTTCTTATTATTTGTCATTATACAGTGGTAAATCGCGTTAGCTACAAATGGTCCAAAGATCAGTATCCACCAGGAATTTATCATAATGTGAAAATAGGCATATGGGGAAAGAGATAATCAAAGTGCTGCAGCACTGAATGCGACGGACATGCAACCGGAGAGACATTAAGGCTTTTTTTTAGAAAATAACAACAAAAATAAAACACAAAATATATAACACAGAAAATTTGTTCCATACAAGTTCGAGATTTGTAGAGCAATACATGTACATTTTGTGTCCCAATCTGATATAATTCAGATATTCTACTTTCAAGCATTTAAATACAGAATGAAATTTATGCCTAAAAACTCTAATCAGTGTCCTTATCGATTTATTCCAAGAAATGATATGTAAATAGAAAAAAAACTGTCAACGAAATATTTCTAAAATAAAACCATGCAAATAAACTTCAAGCATAATACATTATACATGTGAGAATGTTAAATTTAGAATTGCTTCGTGTTATAACATAGTGGGCATATAGACAATAAAATATAAGTCATTTGTATTTTTATTTCTCTTGGATATGTCTCATTAAAAATATTTTTGGTTAAAATCATCAGCAATTAATAGTGTATTTTTTAAGATGTTTTTTTATTTACAAGGGCCAGAGCACATCGTTTTTATTTTAATTTAAATGTCACTTAAGCACTACGGTGTTTAGTTGTCCTTTTCATTTTCACACTAAATTCAATTTTCAACTTGTTTGCTTCTTACAATTGTATAGAATTTCTAAAAGTATTGCATGTAAACAAAGTAAGTATCCGCTGGTTTATTACATGTACTAATCGCCTGTCCGAAAATCAGCACAGGTGCAGCAGAATCTATTTTTAGAATAGCCAAGGTTAACTCATATCGTGACCTAGAAAAATATGTAAACAAACCACAAGAATCGGAAGTAGAACTGATATTATAACTTCCTTCAATAAAGATTACAATGAAAGACTACATGGTGGAAAAGTGTTGAAAAACCCTCTTGTTACATGCATTTTCAAAAATAGATATTTATGCTAACCATTGTACTGTATCTAATTTATTAATAACTGCTGAATATTCAGCGAAACCCGCTGTATGAGTCACGAAAATAGTTCTTCTTTTATTAATGCGCGAGTTACTCTAGAGTCACGAAAAACTTTTGATTTGTTAATAATAATGTTTTGTATAATGTAGAAATATTTATTTCCTACTAATAATTTCTTGGAACTCAGAGCTTACACCTTTATTATAGTATTATTTGCTGTCCTACTTTTTCGACAGCGGTAAATCGTTTCGGCAGTAATTTGCATATTGGGCAATAATACTACGGGACTACAACGTTTTTATCAATCATTTACGTTCATATTTTAACTTGGATAACTTAATTTGAAATTGAAAAGGCTAAATATGGAAGATTTTAAGATATCCCGACAAAGTATGGGAGTTTTAAAGGATAAAATTCATGTACTATTTCTTGGGCTGTTAATCGGTTCAGGACACATTGCGCGATTGTAGCAGACGAAATCCCATGTGTTGATGACTTAGCTCTGAACGCGCCTGAGGGCGCGTCCGTCGCAAAAATCATCATATTTTATTTTACATTCTTTCGTTTCAAAGGTGCTATTCGGTATTTCATGCACCAGTTCTGATTTCAATCAAAATATCTCGACGGTCATATAATCATATGGAAGTGGCTAGCCGTGAGGGCCCGTATGGCTAGCCAAAAGTTCTAGCCGTACGTGAGTCACGTACGACTAGCCAGGACACACTGTATTGGCTAGCCGTACGGCACTTTTCAAAATTATATGGAAGTCGAAAATGCATATGTTATTTTATGACTTTAAGCGAGGATTTGTACAAGACACAGCAATTGTCTTCGTATGTTTACTTTTTAGAGATTAATCGCCTTGTTGGCTACAGTAAAGAAAGTATACGAATACAGTATATATTTTTGTCATCTCAAGACGTCGAGAAAAAATAGCGTTTGGTTGCAGTTAAATAACATCAATTGAAATAGTTTACAAAACTTTGATAATTTTTTTTTGTTTCATTTAGTTTAATTTTCAAATAAAAAAAAAATTAAAAAAACGCGGAAATAATTGTTGTTGGGCTCTGATAATTGCGTCAATTACCGACGGTATAGAAGTTTGTCCATCATTAAGGAAACTTTGCCTTAATTAAGGCTTATCAATTAATTGTGCTTTGATGTCCGATATTTAAAATTATCTATGCTGTATTTGAAAATTATTAAATTATTTTTGCTTTTCACCGGTTTTTTTCAGTATTCTTTTTATTTACTTCTTTATTTATTTAATTATTTATTCCCCTCCGATCTTTATTTATTCGATTATGTGCTTAATTAACAAAAATGATTTAACAATTCATCTTTCATACAAATAAAACAACAAATCATAAGCATGAAAATCAAGGACGTTAAAACTTATGACACTTTTATCAAAATAGATTATACAACGCTTGTTCGTATTCATTTTTTTACAAAATGGCGGAGCATCTTTATTAAAGTGAACACGCTAGGACAAATGCGGAGACTTGATTAAAATCCTCGTTTAAAGACACAAAATAACATGCATTTTCGACTTCCATATAATTTTGAAAAGTGCCATACGACTAGCCAATACAGTGTGTCCTGGCTAGACGTACGCGACTCACGTACGGCTACAACTTTTGGCTAGCCGTACGGGCCCGTACGGCTAGCCACTTCCTAATCATATAGGGAAAGTCACATTGACAATTGTTTCATTACAGGGAAACCGAACTGATTTTCAATAAGTGAAATTAAAAATGATGGGACCAAAAATTTTAATTATAGGTATCTGGTATAGAAATCTTTTGAGCGTTTTATAGCTTAATTTTTTTTTATGTTTCTTTTTTAATATACTTATGTAGTCTGTAGCCATGCAAGTGAAAGCAACCTTTGATTTCCCTGCATGAACAGGCTAGTATCAGGCTTATGACCATTCATGCCATAATTTTTAGGCTCATTTCCGAAACACTTTTCATTTGGAGGTGGGGCATTGATCAGCAACCGTAATGTTTCTAATATTAACAAAGCAGGGCTGGCAAAATCAATTGTCCATATTGCCCAGGTTGTCACACAGCCTGTACGGACAAGTGAAAATTTTCAAGAATAAAGTATGTAAATATCATACATACAAGTTAAAAAATGCTTCGCTAAAAAACGGACAAGTAAGTCAAAATCAGATTTTGCAGGCCCTGCATAGTAGCATACAACCTATATTACCGGTATTTACAACTTGCAAATTTATTGACAACATAAACAAGACAAATTGTCTACAATTATTAACAGTTTTTTCTATCTTTTTTAAAGTATTAAGGCATCGTATATTCAATCAGTCACATAATAAGTGGTAATTTTCACGGTGTTTGACCACTAATAATTGCCTGCAGGTAGAATAGATTAATGCTAGCCAGTTTTTAATTACAGTTTATGACACCTTTGCTTAGGAAGCCGCAGGGGGTAAATGATTAATCTTTTAATTGATCAACATTATTGCCAATAATTGTTAGTTGGAAGGGGCATCAAAGGATTAGTGTCGCCATTTACTGTATATTGCAATGTGCTGTATGGGGATAATTTTTCGTTGTTAGCATGCTAGAATAGTTAATAATAACTTGTCAATAAGATTATATAAAAAATGTAAAATTTCTGGCTACAAAATAAATTATTTTAGATTTTTTTTATCGGGACATAAATCATCTCTGGGACACCTCCGGGACAGACACCTTATTTCCGGGATTTTCCCGGATGTCCACGACATTATGGCATGTATGCTTATGACATAAAAAATCATATTTATAGAAAAATAACAAAGATGTTTCTTTTAAACTTTGTTTATTGAGCATAATATATGACATAAACAGAAAGAAAAAATATTTGGTACAGTGACTTTATTAAGAATTATTTCTAGTGATGAAACAATAATCAAATATTATCGAAAAATCGTTGCTGGGCCTCTCATGTTGACGACAATCGATAGCAAATCAGTCAGCTCTATGTTGCTAACAAATTTTTGGTACTTGGTGCTTTTCTGTCTTTGCGGTATTTTTGTTTGTTTGGGTTAATATAGATGAACAAAAATGACTTTTGAAGTTTTTTTAATTTCATATCCAAGGCACTCAAGATTGTCAATATGAAAGTTCTTTGGTTTCACTAAAAAGAATATCGGACCACTGACTTAACACAATTTTAACATGAAGCGCGTGATATGCAAACTATGCCTAAAATCTGACACAAATAAGGGTATAAAGAGATCAAGTAACTTTGTTAGCTATTTATTGTAGAGCTGTCATCGATAGAGCTGATATCAATGTATCATTGATATTTTTCTGTCAATCAATAATCGATACACAATTGAAAAAATCGATTATTTTGATAAATTATTTAAATGTCTATAAATTATGAAAATTCACTAAGAACATATACAAAAGCAGGTGGCCATATCTAACACAAATATGTTGTTACATAAAGCAGTCATGACAAAATATGGTCAGAAATAAAATCATGCAAAGGTCATTTAGAAACGGGACACAATATATTTGCATGAATAGAACATTAATTTTACTAAAATCATTTAAACAGGTATGAAAACAGGTATATACAACAAGAAATTTGAAGTATTTATCGACATATCGGTATATCGTCAATATGCCTTGCACAGAATCAATTTCAGCTTTAATATATTGATTCTTAATCTTTATAAGATACTCATTCCTTATATTGGTTATAAATAACCTTGGATATAGATGTACAAAATGTCAAGATCCCGATGAGTTTGCTATATAAGATTTACACTGTACAGGGCTCACCCCCTTAATTGTGAAAGGGCTTTGGCTTTTTGTTTGATTGATAATGATTGCTTGAAACTGCTCATTTTTGTCATATTTATAATATTATTGTATGAGATACAAGTACATAATACATGTACTTAGAAGTATTTTAAGGAGTTTATAGTCACTGATATTGTTTCTGCATAGACAATTAAGTTGTTGTACCAAATCCAAAATCATATGTCATTATCAAAGGACTAGAGCTAACATTTTCCTGACCTTTTTAGTTATCCCCCGCCGATGGAATCGGGAGGGGGATATAGTTTTGGCGTTGTTCCGTCCGTCCGTCCGAATTTCGTTTCCGGAGTAGTTCTCTGCAACTACTGGCTGGAATTCAACGAAACTTTATGGGAACCTTCAATACCAAGAGGAGATGTGCATATCGTCGGCTTGTTCGGGTCAGACACTTTAACTCAGAGTTATGGCCGTTGATTAGTTATGCAATATGCATATGGAGTAAAAATCGTTTCTGCGCTACTTCTCTGCAACTACTGGCTGGAATTCAACAGAACTTTATGGGAATCATCAATATCAAGAGGAGATGTGCATATCGTCAGCTTGTTCCGGTCAGTGGAACCTTCAATACCAAGAGGAGATGCGCATATCGTCGGCTTGTTCTGGTCAGATACTTTAACTCAGAGTTATGGCCCTTGATTAGTTATGCAGTATCCATATAGAAAAATATTTGTTTCCTCGCTACTTCTCTGCTACTACTGGCTGGAATTCAATGAAACTTTATGGGATACTAAGAGGAGATGTGCATATAGTCGCCTTGTTCCAGTCAGATACTTATTACTCAGATTTATGGCCCTTGATTAGTTATGTAGTATGCATACATCTCATTGGCATTTCCAGATTTTACTATTTAACACAAAGTTATGGCTCTGTTGTTGCCCTGAATATTTATCAAGTTCAAAGAATATTACTGTTTATGCCATGATTAATATATAAATAAAGCCTTATGTCTTCAGTTGTTGTGTTAATAATAACCAGTACTCGGCGGGGGATATAAATTCAACGAATTTGCTTGTTTATCTAATGATAGTTTCAGCTTTTACTACTCTCAAGTCTATAAAGAACATTATAAATTAAAATAAACTTGTATCTTTTACTCACCCATAACCTGCTGATATTGACGTTTAAGGTATTTAAAATTGTTAATATCAAAATACAAAAATTGAGCTACAATATAAAGCCTGGTCAGGTGGCATGGCTTTGCTCTATACTGGTTAGCAAAGGCAATCATTTTTGTTCCGGCAAATTAATGTTTTAACTTTAAGAAATTTAAAACTATTATTGTTAATGTTTTCAGTGTGCTGTCAGAAGATACTACCCAGACACAGGCCTTTGAGTCAATAGCCACAAGTTTTCATCATTACTTCCAGAAACAGGACCATTTTAAAGTTGGAAGTGCATTGGTATGTTAACTTGTTATTTTCCTAGGTCCATACTATTGTCTTTACAAAAAATGGACAAGGAGTATGATTTTTTTTTATTTCAGATTTTGAATGTATTGTACAACATACATGTATACAATGAGTAAGTAACATGAAGCATATTTGGTAGAAAGACTGACAAAACCCTCCCTCTTAAATTTTCATAGGTGGACAAAAACACCCTTAACTTTTGCTACATGTAGGTTAGCAAAAATCTGTTTAGACAAATTTTAAGAGTGGGTTTTTGTCTGCCTAGGAAAATTTCAAGGTGACTTACAGATATTGTCCATCAAGGAAAATTTCATGTTTTTGTCTGCCTTGGAAACATTTGCAGGAAGGGTATTTGTCTTGTTTCTTTTCATAATCTTATGGTTACTTTAATCAGTATAAATATTATTATTGCTACTTTAGTTTTAAATGCATCCCAATAAAAATAGGATGAATATTTTATGATTTTATTAGAAAGATGTCAAGTTTTGATATAATTATGTTAAAACTATAATTAAAAGTGTCATGAATTTGATTATATACAGTTAGTATGTTTATCTCAGAATTATCTTTGAGTAATAGTAATATATATCTAGGATGACAGATTAGATTATGATGTTGAAAGGATATCATTGTTCACACACAAATATATACAGCTAAAATAAATCAAGAAAGGTGCTGATGCTGATAATGTCAGTGTTAATTGGTAAATTAATGTGTTATTTCAGGTCTTGTTGCTCCAGAACAGAGATCTTCTCCCTCACCCAACACAAAAACTAGCAGCCATCTTCCTCTTGTATGAAATGTACAGAATTGATCAACCAATTGCAGCCAACCCCTTTGCTTCAGTTTTTGTTCATCTTTTGGTATGTATAAAAAAATGCTTTCTAGCTATAAATTCTCAATATCTCATTAACATTCAAATGGTATTGTTTGATTATTTGAAGACTGATTAACTCTTAAATCACAAAAAATCACATAACAAAAGGTGTTCCGAAAAAACATGCATGTAGTGCATTTATAAATGCTACACATCATAACATTGTGCAAAGAACATGTCTGTATTTTACTGAAACTAAGAAAACATGTATGAAAGTGAAATGTAGATAAATAATACTTTATAATTGGTGTTTCATTGATTTTTTTCATCAGATGTTTATACATTGACTAAATCAATGTTTTTTTAAGCTCGATTATGAAACAAGTTCTTGCAACTTACATTAATCACTTTCGAGTTTGCTTCCTGGAACCAACCAGCTGTGGTGTCATATGAAGAAACATAGCTGTAATCGGAATAGGACTCTAACCCATGATCCCCAGGTTGAGAGGAAGACACCTTAACTACTAGGCCACTAGTCCCCTTATATAAATGATTGATATCTCTTCTCTCTTTAATATTACAGAACCCACCAACAGAAAACCAGGATGAAGGTCAGTACAATCTACACTGGGCAATACCAGCTATCTCACCTGCAGAGAAATATTTCCTCTCACAACTTATATCAAGTCCCACTAAAGAGGTACAGGAACTTATTGCTACTGCACGCATAGAAATTAACTTTTATAACATGCATTTTTTTGCTGGTTAAAAAAGTTTTAACTCTTAAAATATACTGGTCAGGGACCATCAACCGGACACTTTTTGAACATTTTTCTATACAAATTTCATAATTTTAAAGCTAGAGGTACGAAAATTTGACACAGTACAGCTAGGTTCTTCTCCTAACTAACAAACTAGTTTGTTTTTTCTGATTATGTTGACACTTATATCCGAGGCCCGTCAAGGAGGGTATCAAAATTACCTAAATTGTACATACTACAGTACCATGTGTCCGGACAGATATGTAATAACGTTGATTTAATTCAGATAAAAGCTTTGGTGTTCTTTTTTTTATTTTTAACATGACACACAATATTTCAGCAGCAAATGCTGAAGTTTTGAATATTCTATTGTTTACTTTGCAAATAATTATTGCTGTTATATGAGGTCAGGCATTGCTTTCTTGACCCCCAAATTTCAACGTCAACATTCTTGAAATAGACATTAAAATATTACCATTTACGGAGGTTGAAATAAATTTATTTACTTAATTATAGAAGAAACATGCATTTATTGTTGATTAAAAAGTGACTGACAACCACTGAACAAAGAAAATTCTAAATCAAGCATTTTCGGGGCCGTCCGGGTTTGGTGGTTGTCCGGTTTTGGTGGTCCCCAACCAGTAAATGAATATTTTTATAATGTTTTTTGTCAACATGTTATTAGGAAGTAGGGTTTATTGAACTCACCCTGGCATTGGCATCACACTGTGGTCAAATTTTTGCAAGCAAAAGACTGCAAGTCTCCAAAAGTACTGAATGGTAAGGTTTGAAACTTCACACACTTATTTGAGAGCATAAGAGGAGGTCATTGTCCAAGGTACCTAACTCTAACATGTATTTTGACAGAAATATAGATCTTTGAACTTAGAAAATTCTACATTATCCAGACTCTTGTTTACTCGTAAGCATTCAGAATAGTTGAGCACCCTGTCCTACTGACATCTCTTGTTACTTTAATTTTGCCACAGTTAAGTCCTGTTTACTGACTTTTAAAGCATTTTTACATTCAATTTTGAATTGTTATTCACTATTGGGGTTACTAAAACAAAAAAAGACACATTATTAAACATGGCTGAAAGTTAGACTGACAGAATGACTAGTTGGCATGTTTTGTATTTTCAGATGTTCAAGAAAACACCAACACAGATCATTCAGATGGATGTAGGAAATATGCAGGTAGACAATCTTTACATACACTGGAGCCGCGATATAGCGCTCATGTTGGGGTCCATGATCTCAAGACAGCGTTGTAACGAGTAACTTTTTATAACGCTCATTTTGTAATTATAGCGAAAATATCGCATTACCCCACCCACCGCCGAAACATATAACGCTTGTTAGTGGAATTGATTGTTTACAAATTTAAAAATATAAACCACGAATGAATGTTTATAAATTTGCAGTAAAACAGCGGTGTTAACGTGAGTTATGTGTGGTCATGAAAATTGATACCTAGTGGATGGGACTAAATTAATCGTCTTTCCTGCTGTCTCTTGTGAAAAAATCAGTCATCCTCAACAACTTTTTTGCAGATAGATCGAAAGTGCATGCTTTTTAAAATTAATTGTATGCTTGGGTGATTTACTTAACTCGTCGGTGTTTGCATGTCTTAGCTAACAGTTTGATACCTGACTGATCAACAGTTCAAAATGAACAAAAGAGCGGATTAACGCTTACCTGTGTATGACTTCACACCTTCTTATCATGAGTGACGTAATTATGACTGTTTATTGCACTCGACTGACACATTGAACAAGCGTTATAGTGGATAAGGTGCGGTATTGATATACATGAAAAAAAAATTATAATGGGCGAAAAATACGATTTTTTTTTTTGGGAGCCAAGGCATATGAGCGTTCTACTGAGATAAGCGCTATACCGATGAGCGCTATATCGCGGCTCCAGTGTACATGTGTAACTGATAAATATGTCACATTGTGTTGTGCTAAACCTTAATGAGTGTTTGAGAAATTTTGTTTCTTTTGATATTTACAAAGCTGTTTATATATAAAGAATAAAGCTGACATACATTGGTCAATTATTGATTTATCAAATAGATGATTTTGTATGCTAAAATGGTTTACCTATTTATCCACTTTGCGATATGTTAGAAAAATTGATGTTTCACAATATTGACATATTTGCCACAAAATACATAGAAAGCAAAAGCAACCATAAAATAAACTTATACCATTCTATTATACCAGTCACATGATGTTTATTATTTTACTTTGATTCCAGAACTTTGATGTGAGTGGTCTTATGTTGGCATTGACAGAGAGACATTCAGAGATGCCGGCAACTGACAAGTCAGCGATGCCGGTTGTTGTACCGGATCCTGACAATAAACCTACCACGTAAGTGCTCAAAACTCGCAGTGAAATGTTCAAAATGAAGTAATTTACACCTCAAGTTTAGTATTTATCAACAGATTAACTTCATCATGAACAGAAATTTCTTATTGTTTAAAAAAGAAGCTTGATTAAAGTGATCAATAAAAGTTGCAAGAATTTGTTTCGCAATCGAGCTTAAATAAATATGTTTTAAATCAATCAGAAGCTAAAAGTACCTGATAATCATAATGCTTTTCCTGTATTTGCATAAAAGGCAGCAAATCTTAACACAAATGTAAAATCATGTTTGTTATTTATACTTTCAGATTTGAGCAGTTTGGTAAACCAGGTGTGATAAATCCCGATGTACAGAGACAGTGTATAGAAGCTTTACTGACGTCAAATAAACCACCTGTAGAGAATTGTATGAGACCAGAGTTTATACGTCTAGCACCACCATTACATATAGCTGAAGATGAGGTGAGATAGAAGTAATAGTACTAAAAAACATGGATGGTGTCCGTACTCCCAGTGCCTGAATGGGCGAATGGACCATCATTAAGCCTAGAATATATACATTGATAGATTAATGTGGAAGAGTACGTTTTGTCTTTGTCCAGTTTTTGCTTTGCTGGAAATCTTAATTTTTGACCATAAAAACTGTTTTATTCTGTCTGTAAGCTAGAGCCTTCATACTTGGGCGAAACGCTTACTAGGTAATTGGTTTATAATTATGTTTTAAAACATGAACTGTTAGATGACCTTCATGACCTATACATGTTTATATATCTTTATTGCTGAATATTGTGTAATAGATTTGCTCAGCTTTGGATTAGTCATTCAAAGTTTAAAGGATTTCAATATCAAAAAATAAAAATGAGCTTCCTTTAGTATAGAGCATGCAATCAGATGGCATGTAAGTGCTGGCTGACAGGGTTTTATACTAGTAGGTGGCAGACAACTGAACTTAACTATAGGACACTGCTGACCTCCTCAGTCTCTTTGAACATTCTAGGTGCAACTCCATATCTTATTAACTGCTTAAGTTATTTACTATTAAGTGTCATCATAATGATCAAAATTTTACTGTAAAGACTTTCTGTCGTAGTTGTATGTCTTTGTGCACACAAAAAAAATCTTTTTAAGAGAAAGAGTGCATGGCGTGTTTATTATGCTCCCCGAAAAATTTCGGGGGAGCATATAGTCGGCGCCTTGTCCGTCTGTCCATCTGTCCGTCCGTTGTCTTGTCCGGAGCATAACTTGAAAACCCTTGGAGATAATTTGTTGAAACTTCATACAGTGGTAGAGGGCATTGAGGGGAAGTGCAGTGTCAAAGAACCATAACTCTATTTTGCCCGGTTTTTGAATTATCTCCCCTTATAGAAAAATCTTGTCCGGGGCATAACTCTAAAACTATAAGAGATATCAACATGAAACTTTGTAGGTGAATAGATCTCAATGGGTAGATGTGCAGTGCATAAGAACAATAACTCTTTTTGTCCTAATTTTGGAGTTATTGCCCTTTGTTAATTTTAACACTTTGAACTTTGTCCGGAATATAACTCTAAAACTATAAGAGATATCAAGATGAAACATTGTAGGTAGATAGATCTCATTGAGTAGAGGTGCAGTGCAGAAGAACCATAACTCTGTTAAGCCTCATTTTTTAATTATCTCCCTTTTTAGAAAAATCTTGTCCAGGACATAGCTGTAAAACTATAAGAGATATCAACATGAAACTTTGTAGGTAGATATATCTCAATGGGTAGATGTGCAGTGCACAAGAATCATAACTCTGCCTTGCCTAATTTTGGAGTTATTGCCCTTTGTTTATTTTTACTTTTTGGAACATAACTTGAAAATCATAAGAGATATCATCAAGAAACTTTTTAGGTTGATAGATCACATTGATTAGAAGTGCAGTGCAAAGAACAGTAACTCTGCCTCGCCTAATTTTGGAAGTATTGCACTTTGACCTTTTTCGAGGGACATAACTCTGAAACTACAAGAGGTGTACTTTCCTGTGTCCAAAAACCTATTTGGGGAGCATCACCCGGCTCAAACCGGGCTCTTGTTTAATCAAGCACTGAGAATAATCACAGTCTTCAAATTTAGCACTGGCCTGGTGGCCCAGGGGCAGTGAAAATTAGTTCGGGCAAGTGTAAATTTTAAGAAAATTTAGTTAAATATATAGTTGAATAAATTCAAAACTGGAATTCGGGCTAGTAAATTCAAAATCTTAAATTCAATGGCGATAAATAGGCTTAATGTCTGTATGATGACTTGTTTCAGATACTTTTATCTGTAAATGCTCACTCAAGTGTTTTGAATGCCATCTATATTTGCAGTTAGCTTGGTTAAACCCAACTGATGTAGAGTACAATATAGCCTGGGATACAACAATGTGTGATAGTAGTTCTGTGGGGACTGAGGTCAGACGTCTGATGACCAAAGCATTTAAGGGACCATTGACCCCACCTCAACAACAACAGCTCCTTGTAGAATTAGAAAAAGACCCGAAATTAGTTTATCACATAGGGCTTACACCAGCAAAGGTATGTATAGTTTGATATTTATTTGTTACAGCATAAGGGAATCAGAATGGCTGAGTGGTTAAATTCGTTGCTTTAAAATCACTGGCCCCTCAGGCCCTCACCACTGTAGATTTGAATACCACCATACACTATGAATTATGTTAAGAAATTACCCAGCTGGCTTCGGGAAGGTACATGGTTCTACCTAATTTCCCACTCGTGACTGACATTATGCAGGCTAGAACACTGCCATATAATCTTTTCAGTGTAGAACACTGCCATAAGATCTTCTAAGTGTTGATGTGCCTTAAAACTATAACCAGATAAATTAATTTAAACATTATTAAATCATTATTTTAATTTATTTTAGCTTGATTTCGAAAAAAGTTCTTGCAACCTATAATAATCACTTAAGAGTTCCCTTCCTGGATCCAACCAGTACTGGTGCCATATGTGAAATCATGATCGTGACACAAGTAGGGCTCAAACCCATGATCCCTGGGTATAGAGGCAGACACCTTAATAACTAGGCCACTGCTCCCCTTTCATAGCAAATCATTTTGCATATCATTTTTAAACGACATAATTCCAGATGGGTAAACAAATATTTAAAAAATCAATTTAAAGATATATGAGTTTGTATGTTTTTTGCAGATTTACTTTGTTATTTTTTTGCAGATTTACTTTGTGATTTTCATAACCATACACAATCTACTATCTTACAAACATGGTCACTTATGTTATATTATTGTATTTTTTTATTTATTTTTTTGGACATGTGACGACAGCAAGCATAAATCACTTACTGAGATGTAATAGGTATCTTTAATGAGATATTTATATGTATGTTAGAATAATACATGTATCTATATTTGTCATAAAATTTGCATGATGAATCTGTTGAGGAGCTGCTTTAATCATGTTTCTAATGTTAAAGGATGAAAAATGTTTAAAAAAATGAAATTTGAATTTTCTGCATGCTGTTAAAAAAAAAATAGGGAAAAAAAAGAGCAAAACAAATGTACTATTATGGTCAAAACAGATATTTATCTATTGCAAGATAATCTATTTATATAAAAAGTAATGGTGTCACATGATAAAGAAGTTTAAATAGAATTAGATATAATTAACTTGTTTTTTACCTTCCACAGTGATAATTTGTCTAGTGCGGAACAGTTCCATTCATTACTATCTTTTTTGTAATTACACGTAATTGAGTTAAATGAAAATTTTATGTAATTTTTGAAATAAAATATGTTAAAAGATACAGTTAAATTACATGTGATGGATATGTTTCACTTAAGATATATGTTACATGAGGCCTTCCCCGTCATGCAGGGCTGTGAGATAATACATTAATGTGTAGTGTTATATCAGTATATAATGCACCTGCAGGGTGGCGTGTACTCATTTATTATGTTAGTCATGTATTACACATTTTTCTATAATGAAGTACGTAAATTTCAGTTACCAGACCTGGTGGAAAATAATCCAATAGTTGCAATAGACGTTCTACTCAAACTGATGCAGTCAAATCAAATTACAGAGTAAGTATTCATATAATTATATGAATTTTTGATATAATAATATAATTACACAGTGACTAGTTTTGTAAATTTCACCTCCCCACCTCCTCTGGCATATATAGTAACTGAACAGCCTGTCTGTACAAGGTTAACATTAATGGCAAGTTGGATTTATCTTAAGTTCTACCAGTAACGATGGCTTCATAGTTTTTTACTTTAATCAACAATACAAAGTACATGATCTTGGCAAGTTACATAACTATGGCTGCTAAGTTATCCAAGTTATTGCCCTTTTCAGCACTTAAGATCTATCTAAACTATTAACAGACGAGCGTTAACATCGCCTGTGGGGCTCTTGTAAAATGTAAGATCATGTATCATTCTCAGAAAATATGTGCTTGCAAGATAAAATTAATATCATTCCATTACTGATCAATTTATCATTTCATTGTGGATATTTATTCGCTAAATTTAATAATTTAAGTGGTAAGAGAAAATGTATAGGACAGCAAAAACAACAACAAAAACTATAATTACCTCAGTGAAATATTACTACATACCAAACTGAGAAAGAGCCCGAACAATGTTTGATATGGGCTTATATAAATTAACTTCTAGAAGTCTCTCTTTCATCAAAATGAACAAATAAGCATTTACTTAATGATAATAAATAGTTTAAAGTGTTTTAATATCTTTTGATAATGACATTCATTTATTATCAAGAGTTAACCAGAGAGTTTACTATCACTTTTCGTAAATAAAAATCGTGATATGCGAGTTCTTTGCCTTCTATGTTAAAAGCAAGTATATTTCATGCTATTTAAAGGGAACAAAATTATTCATTGTACTATTAAATTTCCAACTAATTTGCATCTTAAAACTAGTAGCTGAAAAATGTATTTTTGGGGAAAATTTTTTTGGTGCATTGCTTTCTGCTTCAGTCACTCTGGATAAGCTCAAAGCCTTATTAAGTTGCTCAGTTGCTTAGTCTAAGTTTCGTTTTTCTTTAACATCATGAAACAGGCTTGTCAACGCATACCATAGGTCAGATTTATTTTACAACATTTTTTACACCATGACGATCCATTCCCGACCTATGTTACAATTTAAATGCGTGGGAAGTGTCTGATTTCCAAAGCCTGTCATTACCACGGCAACCTGATACTATTGCATGTTAAACTTTCTGTAACTATCATCGAGTTTGCAATGGACTAAAGGAGAAATTATTCAGAAGAGATCTATGTGCGTCATGATATAGATATATAATATGTAAATTTTGTCTGTACTTGTTCCCAGCTTGTTTATACAGTGTATTCAGCATTTACTTAATGACTGCAGATCTATTGTTATTTGGTTTAATTTAGATAATAAGAAATAATAAGGAAGATAATTGAATGTATCTCATAATCTGCAATGATAAGATTTGGAAATCAACTCTCTTACTGGTAAAATACTGGAAGCAAATTGTCTTTGTCACCAGTATAAAGCCGAGCCAGTCTGTACATCTGTGCAGTTTGACCAGGCTCTATTGTTGGCTGACCAACTTCAAATATTTATTTTGATATCCCCAAAATTGATAATGGATTGTTCCCAAATGGAAGAAAGTCAGCTGGTAATGGGTTAATTTACCTTACTGAATTAGTGGAATAGAATTGTTCTGCTTTGAATTTGAATTTTCCTTTGCAAGTTTTAATTGATTTCATTATAGAAATAATGATATTGGGCAGCTGATGTTATAGAGCTTGGTTAGACTTACAAGAATTGTAGACTTGCTTGGCTTTTTACTAGTGGTATAGATAAGTCATGACAACGCACTGTAAGTTGGACATATCTGCAGATGTTTTGTCACTAAAACAAAAGCATGACATTGGCTCATCTACCCCACTATCCCTTGCACTGCCCTGGAGGTTAGGAGGCTAGGTATACTATTTGCTTGTACATATATATATGATAATTAAATAACGAGTATTTGGAACCTGTGGAATTAATTTTATAGTATTTCATCTTTGAACAGTTTATGACCTAAACTTTATTTTAAAAGGTTAAACTTTCGTCTGCAGAATTAAAGGTCTACGGTATGTATTCAGAAGTTATCCAGTTTTCCATGCATGAATTTTTTTCCTTCTTTTTCAGGTATTTTTCAGTACTTGTCAACATGGAAATGTCATTACATTCAATGGAAGTTGTAAACAGATTAACAACAGTAAGTTTGCTTTAAATTTGTTTTTAGCACAACATGCTCAAGGGGAGCTGTTCTGATTAAAAACAAAAACAAAAACAAAAAAACTGTCTTAGTGAACCACTTCAGAACATCTTGAATAGAAACTACTTTGTTATATAAATACTTGGTTTCAAGTGGTCACTTGCTTCATACTGTAGACACCCACTAATTTTGTTTACAAATAGCAAAATTTGCAATTCAGGAATCAGCAAATTGCAAACATTAATACATAGAGTAAATGTTATTAGCTACATTTGACAGGTGATATCAGAGTGAGTTGAATGGTTATATATCAAACAGTTTATCCAGGGCCTAATAAATTAACCTGAATAAAAGTTCATTAATTTTCAGCAGTGGTGTACATGTATATTGATGATATAAATGTTACAATTTATTGTCGTCTGAATATTGACTTTGGCAGAAACAAAATGATCCGGTTCCGGTGTAAATCATGAAATAATTTTTCTTTTATGTAATTATAGGAGTTTGAACTTGTGGTAAATTTATTTCAATGTTCTGAATCATTTGTTTGTCAGATCTACAAAAATTTTGTTATAAATGAGTAAGGTCAATTCTTCTGTGCAATTATTTTGATGTTGTGATTTTAGCTGTAAAAATATATTTGTGAGTCAGTGTTTAATTAAAAAGTTATTTTGGGCTTGATATAAAAGAAATGTTTGGGTTTATTTACAGGCTGTTGAGTTACCATCAGAATTTATTCATCTATATATATCAAACTGTATAACAACATGTGAGACAATAAAGGACAGATACATGCAGAACAGACTTGTGCGACTAGTTTGTGTATTTCTACAATCTCTCATTAGAAACAAAATTATTGATGTTAAGGTGAGAGATTTATTGACTATTTTCTTATGTGATTATAAAAATATTTAAGTAACCTTGGCCAAGTGGTGGTTTTTAATCTTATTGCCCCTCTTAGCTCATCATGGATGTTAGAATAAATATGTTTATTTTAGCTTGATTATAATGCAAATTTAAACAACTCGGGAGGAGACTGCCTGTAAATGACCAGTACTGGTGTTGTATGCAGAAATATTCTTGAACCCTCTATCCATAGGGTGAGAGGCAAACATTTTGACCATTGACTTAACTACATGTATATAAGTATTATGTCTACCTGTCTTGCAGATCTATGGATTCAGGCCTAAGATAATACATGTACATGCATAGGAGTCTCGAGTCTTTCTCCTCTAGTAACAGTTGAAAAAATTGCCACATGACAATAACATGACTGTAAACAAATACAAGTAAAATGACATTTGATTTGAAACCTGTTTGTTTTTTGTTTCTGATAAAAATCCTGATGGCTCTACTCAGGTATCCACTAAACTGGGCATTTGTACACAGTGCTTAAGTGCGAAAGTCGCAAATCATCTTTACCTTAATATAGTAACAGTGTTGATGTGACTTACACATAAAAAAAATCAAGAATGCAAACTCTGATTCAATAAAAACTCTGGGATTTACTTAGTGAGTCTTAAATACTGACTTTCCATTTTCTCAACAGAAAGAGACAAATATATAAAAACTGCATTTTCAACATGTTTTAAGATAGTATTTATATATTTTCAGGACATATTTATCGAGGTTCAAGCATTTTGTATAGAGTTCAGTAGGATACGTGAAGCAGCAGGCTTATTTAGACTTCTTAAATCATTGGATAGTGAGGACCCTAAAGCCGTGGGTCAGGTGAAAACTTCATAAACAACTGTGAAAATATTACAGAATCTTGGATGTAAAAATTTTGAATAAAGTGTTGTAGTTGACATGGTGAGAGCATATTTGGAGAGGAGCATGATTTACCAGATCTGATCTTAAGAAGGGGTTTGAGCAAAGTTCACAATCTGGAGCCACACTCAGCAAAAAGTGTTAAGAACCATTTTTGAAGTGAATGTTTAAGAATTTTTTTAGGCATATAGCTTTTTATTGGTTCAATGTATGAGCCTCGTGTTGAAAGCTTTATATAAATAGCATGGTAGCCACTCTTCTGACATAAAAAAAAAGTGATATAGAATAGTGTGATAGCAATCTTTTAATGTTGCTTTATGTGATGTTGATTTAAGATCTGTACCGTGTGTGCTTACAGGAATTATGAGTACTTGACAAATGTTGCCATAGAAATGTGATTTCACAATGACAAGTGAGAGATGTTTATAATTTACTGTTATTATAATCTTGAAGATAATGAAATGAAAAAGAAAAAAGTATAGGATGCTGAATTAACTTGAAAGAATTTACTTGAAGATATGCAACTCCAGATGAGTTAAGAATAATTTGAAAAAATGAAAGTTGAATCAAAACAACAGTTTGCATGTTTGAAGCAGACTTTATAATTTTATCACTGTATTTTTACTGTGTTGTAATATAGTAAGGTCTGCATATTGTTGCCTGTTCTAGGTTTCTGTGGATAGTGTCTTTGGCTTCATTATCACACACATTATTTCAACATAACTTTTTGAACATATTTTTAAATATGCATGAAATTTAACACAAAGCTTGAGTTGTGCAGTGCTGCTAGTTGTTTATCTTCCAAATAGACACTGAATAAAAGTTACTGTTTTTTTATGTAAACCAATAAGAAAAATTGGAAAGTGAACAAAATTTATTTCCATAACATGTAATTATAAAACACAAATGCACTTAATGTCATACATGTATTGTGATAACTTACTTTACAACAGATTTTTAAAGCTCCTACAGGTATTTGTATTTTTTTCTGTATCAAAAGTATGTTGTTACTGGACATCAAATGCAAAAATTTTAGTTCTTATAAACAGCATGTTATTCATAAGCCTGTCCCATTGTCTTTTCATGCTTGAGGTTCTTTGAAAATTTGGCCGCTATCCCAAACAGTTAGATATAAGCATTGTTTACCAACGGGTAAGATTTGAATGGTTTTACGAAGCTATGAGCATGACAAATGTTATTCCACCTGCTAATAAGCATATTACGGCTTAGTAGTGGTTATTGAAATGCCGGGGTATTTCCCAATGATTTTGTAAATTTATAATTAAAATCCAATGATGTTTTTATTGTCTCCCTTTGTCACAATATCTTTGGCTTGCATTTTTGTATTTTATGTAATTTACCTACCATAAATACATATAGAGGCTTTAAAGGCTATGTACTATCTGGAATGCCTTTTGACAACAAAGCTGTTCTGTTTTAAAATTTGAAACTTTAGGGTTTTTAAAAGTTTATTTATGGTGCAATTGTATGTTAGACATGTCATGTTGTTTATTATTGACTGTATGTTCAAGATCGTTTAGCAGGTTGTTTTTTTTTATGCCCCCACAATGTGGGAGCATATAGCGTTGCACTTGTCCGTTTGTCTGTCTGTTCGTCCGTCCCGAAATCTTGTGAGCGCAACTCCTCTTAAACCAGATGGCAGATTTTGCTTAAACTTACAGGGATGAACAACCTTAATGTGTAGATGGTAGTAAAGGAAGTAATCTTTGCTGCGACCAAATTTAACAGAATTATGGTCCTTTGTTGATTTTTTCACTATATACTTTGTAGAAATTTTGTGAACGCAACTCCTCTTAAAGCGGATGGCAGATTTTGCTTAAACTTCCAGCGATTAACAACCTTAATGTGTAGATGGTAGTAAAGGAAGGAATTTTTGCTCTGACCAAATTTAACAGAATAATGGCCCTTTGTTGATTTTTAGTTTTCAACTTGTGGCACATGTAGTCCAAAAAATATTTGACCTAGAGTCATAAGATTGACAGAACAGTGGCGTGTGGGGGCATCCGTGTCCTATGGACACATTCTAGTTTATTAAAGCATTCCCCTTATTTCTGGAGTAATACTGTATAATGTACCATGTTGACTGTTCTAAAAATTCAACTAGTTATTGTGTTGTCATAGTAATATTATAAGAATCTTACACTGGCTGCTGGTACAGACCGGAATATCTATAAATCCGGAATATAAACAGTTACCCGAGAGCTAAATATTCCTGTCTGCGACGACAGCTGGTGTTTGATTTTTTTTTCTTGCATATTACATTATCAATTATTTTCAGAACAGAAATAACGAAAACCGATATTCTCATTACGCACTTTTAAGCTCACTTGAGCTTGCTCAGGATGAGCTTTTAGGATCAGTGAATGTCCGTCTGTCCGTGGTACGTCCACAATTGCTTGTGAACACTCTAGCGTTCGCATTTTTGCCTCAATCATCATCAAACTTGGTCAGGATGCTTATCTAGTTGAAAGCTCGGATGAGTGCGAACATGGCTCATCTCGGATGAAAAACTAGGTCACAAGAGCTAAAAATAGAAAAACCTTGTGAACACTCTAGAGGTCACATTTTTGAACCAATCTTCATCAAACTTTGTCAGATTGCTTGTCTAGTCAATTGCTTGGATGAGTTCGAACATGGGTCATCTCTGATGAAAAACTAGGTCACAGGAGCTAAAAATAGAAAAACCTTGTGAACACTCTAGTGGTCACATTTTTGACCCAATCATCATCAAACTTTGTCAGGATGCTTGTTTAGATAATAGCTCGGATGAGTTTGAATATGGGTCATCTCGGATGAAAAACTAGGTCACCAGAGCTATAAATAGAAAAACCTTGTTAACACTCTAGCGGTCACATTTTTGCATCAATCATCATCAAACTTGGTCAAGATGCTTGTCTAGGTGATAGCTCGGATGAGTTCGAACATGGGTCATCTCGGATGAAAAAGTAGGTCACCGGAGCTAAAAATAGAAAAACCTTGTTAACACTCTAGCGGTCACATTTTTGCATCAGTCATCATCAAACTTTGTCAAGATGTTTGTCTAGGTGATAGCTCGGATGAGTTTGAACATGGGTCATCTCGGATGAAAAAGTAGGTCACCGGAGCTAAAAATAGAAAAACCTTGTTAACACTCTAGCGGTCACATTTTTGCATCAATCATCATCAAACTTGATCAAGATGCTTGTCTAGGTGATAGCTCGGATGAGTTTGAACATGGGTCATCTCGGATGAAAAAGTAGGTCACCGGAGCTAAAAATAGAAAAACCTTGTTAACACTCTAGCGGTCACATTTTTGCATCAATCATCATCAAACTTGATCAAGATGCTTGTCTAGGTGATAGCTCGGATGAGTTTGAACATGGGTCATCTCGGATGAAAAAGTAGGTCACCAGAGCTAAAAATAGAAAAACCTAGGTCACAATTTTGACTCAATTGTCATCAAACTTGGTCAGGAAACTTGTCTAGGTCATTGCTGGGAATAAATCGAACATGGGACATCTCGGATGAAAAACTAGGTCACAGGAGCTAAAAATAGAAAAATCTTGTTAACACTCTAGTGGCTACTGTTGTGATCCAAATATTTTGTTAATTGGTCTGAAAGTTTGTTTTGATGATTCCTAAGTCAAGATCGAACATGGGTCATCTTGGATGAAAAACTAGGTCACACCGCCCAAATATGGGAAAAACCTTGTTAACATTCTAGTCACATTTTCGACTCAATTATCATCAAACTTGGTCAGGATGCTTGTCTAGGTAACTGCTTGGATGAGTTCGAAATCGCATGTGAAACTAGGTCACCGGAGCTAAAAATAGAAAAATCTTGTTAACACTCTAGTTGCTACTGTTTTGATCCAATTATCCTGGAAATTGGTCTGAAAGTTTGTTTTGATGATTTCTAGGTCAAGTTTGAATATGTGTCACCTGGGTAAAAAACTAGGTCGCACTGCTCAAATATGGATAATCCTTGTTAACACTGTAGTGGTCACATTTTTGACCCACCTGTCATGAGACTTGGTCAGACTGCTTGTCTAGGTAATTGTTTGGATGAGTTTGATAAGTCAGGTGAGCGATCTAGGGCCATCATGGCCCTCTTGTTTCTTATAGTAGCGTATGAACGTACAACTCCATTCATAACGGTTAAGTGACGTCATCCTAACATAAAAGGCGCGCAGCAATGACGTCATTTTAAAGCATACATGGGGGGTGTAAGACAGGGTTTTCTAGCACCGGTGTAAACGGTAGATAATCCTGTCTGATATGCAAGAAATATGGATCTTACACCAGCTGCCAGTACAAATTGGAATATCTTGCTTGAGTGTAATTGTTTACAGCAGTAACAAGACTCTGCTGAGTTTCCGCAAATAACGGCCTCCGTGGTCGAGGGGTTAGAGGCGATGACTTCTAATCCAGTTAACTCTCTGGCATGGGTTCGATCCCCGGGAGATGCTTTGGTAGTTTAGCACGGTGGAAGGTAGTCTACTACTGGTGTAACTCACCAGGAACAATGGTTAGGAAACTACCCGCCTATATGACTGAAATACTGTTGGGGAAAAGGCTTAAATTGAAACAAACAATCAGTTCCCGCTAAACAGTTATCTGAGAATGACGTTATTAACAGAACGCGACTTGTCTTACATGGGGGATGTAAGACTGGTTTGGCTAGCACTTGTGTAAACGGTAGATAGTCTGATATGCAAGAATATCAAATGTTTCAGTAGAAATAGGAGTTTTTACTCTGTCGGGCACACTTAAAAGCATGTTGTTGTGTTATATTCAAGTTCATTGAATAATTGAACTAAATCATGTTTAATAAAAAAGATGTTGAAATAACATTAGATGTAAAAAGCATGTTGTTGTGTTATATAGAATTAAATTATGTTCAATAAAAAAGATGTTACTATAAAATAAGAATGTGGAGAAATTTTTTGAAAAAATGTTTGACTTGTTAAGAAATACAATATTATATATTATGAGGTCTCTAAGATTAATAAAAATATATAAACATTTGAAGGTGTTGTGTATGATGTATTCCTGTAAACAATTTGTATACAGTCTCAATAATGATTTAGAAGTTGATCACATCCCTACATCAATTAATATGAATCAAAGGGCATAATGACTTGTGCACTTGTTTGAGGTTGCAGATAATTTTAACCTGTTTAAAGGTCAATTTATTGAATTTTGCTTTTTTTTTTTTTTTTTTTTAATTTGCTATAACTGTTATTTTTGAATGGGTTGTCTATATACTCCTTTGGACATCACCTAAATAATGAAGACAAAATTGACTTTAACCATAGCTCATCAATGAACTTGACCTTGAAGGTCAAATTACTGAAATTTGCTTAATTTTTGCTATTATTGGCTATAACTTTGTTATTCACAAATGGATTTTCTTCTTACTTAAACACAATAACCTTTTATTAGGACAGTGTCTTAAAGAAGATCAAACTAAATTTGACTATGTCTCATCAGTCATCAATGACCTTGAAGGTCAAATTATTGTATAATTAGCTATAACTTTGTAAGTACATGAATGTGACCTTTAAAGGAGCTTGACAGTCAAGATGAAATAATATAATTTTGGTTAAGTTGTCAAAAATTCTTTACTACAATATTCTTCATTCTATGTGGATACTGGAAAGAAAATGTTGAGCATGTGTCCTGCTTGGCAGTGGTTCTTGTTAAATGGAGAACAGTGTTTAAAGCATACTGGATAAATTACAATGTGTTCCCAATGTGTCGATTAAATACACTCAAGCATATTTCACATCACCCATTTTATTTAGATATTTAAGCAAGGAAAGTATGCAGAATGTAGTTTTAAAGATTTGATGTATGCCACACATATTTTGATAAATCATATATACAAGTACTGGTTTGTCTGGATGGCACCACAGTATCATGGGGTGTTAGTATCATGGTAAAATTGTTTACTGTTAATACCAAGCACCTTTACATTTTTGTGCCTTTTAATGATATAAGATTTTATACGATGTAATGAATATTCATGGTTATTTTATGCTTCAAATGAAAACATTTTCTTCTTGTCCTCAGAAAATATTTTAATTTTACTTCAAAGGAATTCCACAGAGGTCCAAAAAGCTAAAAAAATAAATTTTGAATTTCATACATCGATTAGCTGGAGCACATAAAACAGGAAGATATGCAAAAGGTAATTGAGAAATATACTTTTAAAAACATGGAAATCATGTTTTTGTGCTATTTTTTGTCATACATGAATATCAATTTTGGTTCATTGTCTACATTTGGAATAATTGTTCAGGGGAAAACGGAGTGAGTGAATGATCTGAAATTTTTCACATAAGCTATTGGTCTAGACCTACACCAAATGGAGCATTAATTTTGAGGGGAAAAAAACATTTAAAGTCTAATCATGTCAAATAACCTTAGTGAAATCCTTTTAATTATAAAAGTAAGCGCAAACCTTAAAGATATATTTTTTTAGCTGATGGCTATTCCTTACTATATAACAATTCCCTCAACTCATAGTTAACTGTTGAGAGAAGTACGATTATGACAAAAAGTAAAAACAAGACTTCTGTCCCTTTGACTATAAAACTGATGTATAAATACCAAAGTTTTGCTGGTAAAATATATCCATGGTTAGTAAAACTCTAAAATATTTCAGTTAAGACATCCGTTACCAATTAATCACCTAAATATTTGTGAATGTGTGGCTGGGCACCTTAGGAAAGGATCAACTAGTCCTTGTTATTGTAATGATATTGATTATAGAAATGTTGCAAATATTCCTTCTTAAAAATAAGCGACTGAAATTGATTGCAAAACATAAAGGGTCATTTGTGTTTGATTGTTTCAACAGATGTGTGTTTAAGATAATGTTTTTTTAAATCAGTTAAATTTCTGTAAGATATTCTATTTAAGCATAGAATCAATTTAATTGCTCTAAATATTTATTGTTGTTACAAATAAAAGATAACATTCTGAAAAAATATTAAGAGGTATGTATCAAAGTTGAAAGTAACCCAAAAAGCAAGTCTATCTATTCAGTATTATTTGTGGGGTACATTCTTTAGTGAATTTAGAGGAGCACAAGATAAAACATTTTTCAATTGTCAGGGAAACCTGCTAAAGTCATCATAAGGTATCCCATGAATTATCCAAAAATAGAGGTGAATGTTTTGTATGCTATTTTCGTGGGTACCAATGTTTTTTGTAATTCTCAACAATTCATCAATGTAGACTCAAACTGTTACTTTGTATACTTCTCACCAAAACTTTGCAGACAAAATATACAACTTACTGGTAATGCAAACATTTTTTTTAAATTTCAAAAAACAGAAGTGGTGATTGTATTAAGGATGTTTTTTGGGAGTTTTTCATATAGGCTTAATTAAAACTGTTCAATAGAATTTCTTTAAACTTGGCATGATTTTAGGATATGATAACAGAAACATTTTAAGCTTAAAAAAAATTAGGGTCACCATACTCGTATTATCTGCCCCTGAATCAGAATTTTCTACTTATTTGAGGTCATTTCAAGGTCAGTGTAAAAATAGTTTTAAATCTGCGCTATACATCTAAGTATTTTGGACTAGTAATTTTACAATATATTTGTAACTTTTTAAGTTCAGTGTACATTAAAAGACCCTATTTAATCCTGGTCTCAAGCAGGCCTCAGCAATTCATTCTTGACATTTCAATCTCCTTACTTGATGATCAAAGGCACACGAGAACTAGATGTTATCTTCTCCCACCCCAAATGCATTTGAAGTACTTGCAAAGGAAAACAAAACATGCATCAAATATATGCAACCAACTTATGTCATATTAACACATACTCATAAAAGCAAAATGTTGCGCACCTTTGGAAAACAAGGGCTTATTACAGCAAATTTGGGGATTAAGTTCACTTACCACCTACCTCGCATTTGATAAATGTAAATGACTCATTTTCTAAAGTTGTATTTTTATTATTAAGTGTTACACATTTTGTTTGACTTAATATTACTTTATTAATGCCTAATTAACTTATTTAAAAGATAATGAAAATCCATCAGATTTTATTTTCACACAAAGTTTTTTCTCAACCCCATTTTCCCATCTGTGCATTATTTCAGAAACTGGCAGGTGACTGGGGTAAAATATTGATCATTTAACAAATTTACAAGACAGTCAAATAGTATTTTCTGTTTAAGATGTTTTCATCCCTGGCTGGATTTAAAGTACCAGCAACATCAACAACTCTTTTAGTCCACTCAAAGTTAAACTATTGATTTCAATTTTAAAATGAAAAAAAAGGGTTTTCATCAGTGTTGAGCCTGTTCAGACTTCCTGGACTTGCAACTAGCAATTAGGTGAATTTGTAAAAAATAAACTAGAACCGCCACTGTCATGGCGTAGATACCCCCGCATACCACTTTGACAGAATTAACAGTGGCCATAATAAAATTAGAGCTCAAGGACAAACTGCCTGCCAAATCTGAGGTTACTAAGCCAGTGCATTGCTAAGTTATGTATTCTATATGCTTGTATTCTATATGCTTCAAATGTGAAAATGTCAAAATCAATACACTGGGGACAGGCATTCTTAAGCAGACAAGCTTATTATAGTAAAATCTCTGTGACCTTGACCTTTGACAGTCACCTAAAAATCATAGGGGTCATCTACTAGTCATAAACAACCTCAATAGCAAAATATGTCTGCAAGACTGTTGACCAAAGCATTCTTAAGCAATTGAGCGGACAGGCATTTTTGGTCATGGCCCCTGTGACCTTGACCTTTGACCCAGTGACTTCAAAATCAATAGGGGTCACCTAAAGGTCATGCTCAACCTTCATGCCACATATGAAGACTGTGGGTCAAAGGTTTCTTAAATGATTGGGCGGACAAACTTTTGAAGTCAAAGTCCCTGTGACCTTGAACTTTGACCTCAAAATCAATAGGGGTCATCTATTAATCAAGACTAACCTCCAAATAAAATATGAAGACATCTGGTCAAAGGAATATTAAGTAATTGGGAGACAAGTTTTTTTTAGTTAAGGCCCCTGTGACCTTGACATTTGACCCGGTGACCTCAAAATCAATAGGGGTCATCTATTAATCATGGCTAACCTCAATGCCAAATATGAAAACTGTGGGTCAAAGGAATCTTAAGTTATTGAGCGGACAAGCTGTTTGAAGTCAAGGCCCCTGTGACCTTGACCTTTGACCCAGTGACCTCAAAATCAATAAGGATCATCTACTCATCATGACTAGCCTCCATGCCAAATATGAAGACTATGGGTCAAAGGAATCTGAAGTTATTAGGCGGACAAGCTGTTTGAAGTCAAGGCCCCTGTGACCCTGACCTTTGACCCAGTGACTTCAAAATCAATAGGGGTCATCTACTCATCATGACTAACCTCCATGCCAAGTATGAAGACTGGGTTAAAGGAATCTTAAGTTATTGGGTGGACAAGCTTTTTTTAGTCCAGGCCCCTGTGACCTTGACCTTCGACCCAATGACCTCAAAATCAATAGGGGTCATCTACTTACCATGGCTAACCTCAATGCCAAATATGAAAACTGTGGGTCAAAGGAATCTTAAGTTATTGGGTGGACAAGCTGTTTGAAGTCAAGACCCCTGTTACTTTGACCTTTGACCCAGTGACTTCAAAATCAATAGGAGTCATCTACTCATCATGACTAACCTCCATGCCAAATATAAGACTGTGGGTCAAAGGAATCTTAAGTTATTGGGCGGACAAGCTGTTTGAAGTCAAGGCCCCTGTGACCTTGACCTTTGACCCAGTGACCTCAAAATCAATAGGGGTCATCTACTTACCATGACTAACCTCCATGCCAAATATAAAACTATGGGTCAAAGGAATCTTAAGTTATTGGGTGGACAAGCTGTTTGAAGTCAAGGCCCCTGTGACCTTGACCTTCAACCCAGTGACCTCAAAATCAATAGGGGTCATCTACTTACCATGACTAACCTCCATGCCAAATATAAAGACTGTGGGTCAAAGGAATCTTAAGTTATTGGGTGGACAAGCTGTTTGAAGTCAAGGCCCCTGTGACCTTGACCTTTGACCCAGTGACTTCAAAATCAATAGGGGTCATCTACTTACCATGACTAACCTCCATGCCAAATATAAGACTGTGGGTCAAAGGAATCTGAAGTTATTGGGCGGACAAGCTTTTTTCAGTCCAGGCCCCTGTGACCTTGACCTTGACCCAGTGACCTCAAAATCAATAGGGGTCATTTTCTTACCATGACTAACCTCCATGCCAAATATGAAGACTGTGGGTCAAAGGAATCTAAAGTTATTGGGCGGACAAGCTTTTTTCAGTCAAGGCCCCTATGACCTTGACCTTTGACCCAGTAACCTCAAAATCAATAGGGATCATCTTCTATTCATGACCAATCTAACTACCAAATATGAAGACTGTGGGTCAAAGATATCTTAAGTTATTGGGCGGACAGGGAAAAACCGACGGACGGCCGGACGGACGAGCTGATTCCAGTATACCCTTCTTACAACTTCGTTGTGCGGGGGTATAATAATTTCTTGAAGGTAAAATTAAATGAAAAAGTTCTTTTCTTAATTTGAGTGAAATATGGTATATATTTTCACAAACCATGATAAAATTCCAGACATCTTCACGAGCTCAGTATGTCTAGAAAATAATGTGAAACATTTTGGAATGTTAAATTAATATGGCAAGTTTTGTTGTTAGTCAACTTATGTTGCTTTACAATTCAATATGTCAAATTCTCAAGGATATGCACAAGTAAATTTATTGACAATAGATATTCCAGAACTTGGATTTTTTCCCAATCTTATCCCTGGGCACAAACAAACAGTTACCAATTGGTAAATACATGTATATTGTTAATAAGCACAACACATTGATTAACATTTTGTGAACCCCAGTGCACCATGAAGCTTTGATGGTAAATGTTTGTTTGAACCCCTTAGGATTAGATGGGGTAACCCATATTTGCCGGGTTCCAGATAACATCTGTTACTTCTTTTAAGTTTTTTTTATTATAAATGGTTGAACTGATTTTTGAGAAGCAAACAGAAGATTGTGTCTTCCAACATCCATGTAAGACAGACATTTCTACAAATGGACATTTATTTTTGTACTTCCTTTGTTAATATGTATTGTATTCTACTTATCGTGTGAATAGAATTTATTGTTATCTATTGTTCCTGGTATCAAACAAATGCCCTCTTGTTTACTTAGCCATATAGACTGCCACAGTACATGTATACCCACTCACATATATCATTGTGCAGGGTATAGTAATTATCAGTTATATACATCAAATATCTCTTTTGAAATAAAAAAAAATATTCCAAGTTAAAACACAAGTATAAGATTTTTTTTATATATATATTTTATGAAATATACTATCATTAATCACTGTACATGTAATAATTTAGTATGCATGTAGTATAAAGCACAAAAAAAACCATAAAAAATCACAGTAGTTTCCTCAATGGTTAAATTGTTTTTTCTCCATCACAGTCTCTTTCCAATGAATTATACATTAAATAAAATGTTCAGATAAAATGTTTACTAAAATACTTGGTGAAAAAAAAAATCCTAAACATGCTGGGTGCATTTTAACATTATTCCGTCAATTTTATAAAAAAATCTGTTACTTTCTGTTTCTTGTGAAGTGCCATCTTTATTTACACACCAGCATCTGAAAGAAAATACAAAATACGATATGAATTTATACAATTTTTCATCAAATGAAAGACCAAATATGTTTTTCCAGTGCTTATTTTAGGTGATTCAGATATCATAATATTGAATACATACATTACACAAGCACTAATAAATGAATATTATACATTATATTTATGACTATGAAGTTATTATATAATCTTAAGTACAATACTGAAATCCTTGGGACAAATTTACATAGATCTGTTAAACCTATATTGTACTACATTTGGCAAGCAAAATTGTACGAGTCCAATAGAATCAGTATGGTACTCAACAATGTTTAATGAATTCTTTAGTTCACACAGCTGGAATACCCATAGATTAATTGACAAAGGATATCCCAGGATTTACATAAATGCAGCACAGTTACCAAAAATTAAGGGTTCCCCAACATTCAAGACAAGAGGGCCATGATGGCCCTGGATCGCTCACCTGACACAACCGCATCCAAGCAATGTCTTAAACAAGCATCATGACCAAGTTTGATGCGACTGAGTCAAACATGTGACCTCTAGTGTGTTATAAAGATTTTTTTCCATATTTGGGCAATGTGACCTAATTTTTGACTGGACACGACCCATATTCAAACTTGACCTAGAAATCATCAAAACAACCTTCCTGACCAATTTCCAGGAAATTTGGATCAAAACAGCAGCCACTAGAGTGTTAAAAATATTTTTCTATTTTTAGCTCCTGTGACCTAGTTTTTGACCAGACATGACCAATCTTAGCACTTGACCCAGAAAACATCAAAACAACATTCTTGACAAATTTCCTGAATATTTGAATAAAAACTGCAGCCACTAGAGTGTAAACAAGCTTTTTCTATTTTTAACTCCTGTGACCTAGTTTTTGACCTGAGATGGCCCATCTTCGAACTTGACCTAGAAATCATCAAAACAACCTTCCTGACAAATTTCCAGAAATATTTGAATCAATACTGGCAGCCACTAGAGTGTTAACAAGCTTTTTCTATGTTTAGCTCCTGTGACCTAGTTTTTGACCGGAGATAACCCATCTTCGAACTTGACCTAGACATCATCAAAACAACCTTCCTGACAAATTTCAAGAATATTTGGATGAAAACTGCAGCCCCTAATGTGTTAACAAGCTTTTCTATTTTTAGCTCCTGTGACCTAGTTTTTGACGCGGACATGATCCATCTTCGAACTTGACTTAGATATCATCAAAACAACCTTCTTGACAAATTTCCAGAACATTTAGATGAAAACTGCAGCCATTAGAGTGTTAACAAGCTTTTTCTATTTTAAGCTCCTGTGACCTAGTTTTTGACCTGAGATGACCCATCTTCCAACTTGACCTAGAAATCATCAAAACAACCTTTCTGACAAATTTCCAGAATGTTTGGATGAAAACTGCAACCATTAGAATGTTAACAAGCTTTTTCTATTTTTAGCTCCTGTGACCTAGTTTTTGACCAGACATGACCCATCTTCGAACTTGACCTAAAAATCATTAAAACAACCTTCCTGACAAATTTCCAGAATATTTTAATCAAAACTGCAGCCACTAGAGTGTTAACAAGCTTTTTCTATTTTTAGCTCCTGTGACCTAGTTTTTGACCGGTGATAACCCATCTTTCGAACTTGACCTGAAAATCATCAAAACAACCTTCCTGACAAATTTCCAAAATATTTGGATGAAAACTGCAGCCACTAGAGTGTTAACAAGCTTTTTCTATTTTTAGCACCTGTGACCTAGTTTTTGACCGGACATGACCCATCTTCCAACTTGACCTAGATATCATCAAAACAACCTTCCTGACAAATTTCCAGAATATTTGGATGAGAACTGCAGCCACTAGAGTGTTAACAAGCTTTTTCTATTTTTAGCTCCTGTGACCTAGTTTTTGACCGGACATTACCCATCTTCCAACTTGACCTAGATATCATCAAAACAACCTTCCTGACAAATTTCCAGAATATTTGGATGAAAACTGCAGCCACTAGAGTGTTAACAAACTTTTTCTATTTTTAGCTCCTGTGACCTAGTTTTTGACCGGAGATGACCCATCTTCGAACTTGACCTAGATATTATCTAAGCAACCTTCCTGACAAATTTCCAGAATATTTGGATGAAAACTGCAGCCACTAGAGTGTTAACAAGCTTTTTCTATTTTTAGCTCCTGTGACCTAGTTTTTGACCAGACATGATCCATCTTTAAACTTGACCTAGATATTATCTAAACAACCTTCCTGACAAATTTCCAGAATATTTGGATGAAAACTGCAGCCTATAGAGTGTTAACAAGCTTTTTCTATTTTTAGCTCCTGTGACCTAGTTTTTGACCAGACATGACCCATCTTCGAACTTGACCTAGATAAAATCAAAACAACCTTCCTGACAAATTTCCAAAATATTTGGATGAAAATTGCAGCCACTAGAGTGTTAACAAGCTTTTTCTATTTTTAGCTCCTGTGACCTAGTTTTTTGACCAGACATGATCCATCTTCAAACTTGACCTAGATATCATCTAAACAACCTTCCTGACAAATTTCCAGAATATTTGGATGAAAACTGCAGCCTATAGAGTGTTAACAAGCTTTTTCTATTTTTAGCTCCTGTGACCTAGTTTTTGACCGGAGATGACCCATCTTTGAACTTGACCTAGAAACCATCAAAACAACTTTCCTGACAAATTTCCAGAATATTTGGATGAAAACTGCGGCCACTTGAGTGTTAACAAGCTTTTTCTATTTTTAGCTCCTGTGACCTAGTTTTTGACCGGAGATGACCCATCTTCGAACTTGACCTAGATATCATCAAAACAACCTTCCTGACAAATTTCCAAAATATTTGAATAAAAACTGCAGCCACTAGAGTGTAAACAAGCTTTTTCTATTTTTAACTCCTGTGACCTAGTTTTTGACCGGAGATAACCCATCTTCGAACTTGACCTAGACATCATCAAAACAACCTTCCTGACAAATTTCAAGAATATTTGGATGAAAACTGCAGCCCCTAATGTGTTAACAAGCTTTTCTATTTTTAGCTCCTGTGACCTAGTTTTTGACCGGACATGATCCATCTTCGAACTTGACTTAGATATCATCAAAACAACCTTCTTGACAAATTTCCAGAACATTTAGATGAAAACTGCAGCCATTAGAGTGTTAACAAGCTTTTTCTATTTTTAGCTCCTGTGACCTAGTTTTTGACCTGAGATGACCCATCTTCCAACTTGACCTAGAAATCATCAAAACAACCTTTCTGACAAATTTCCAGAATGTTTGGATGAAAACTGCAACCATTAGAATGTTAACAAGCTTTTTCTATTTTTAGCTCCTGTGACCTAGTTTTTGACCAGACATGACCCATCTTCGAACTTGACCTAAAAATCATTAAAACAACCTTCCTGACAAATTTCCAGAATATTTTAATCAAAACTGCAGCCACTAGAGTGTTAACAAGCTTTTTCTATTTTTAGCTCCTGTGACCTAGTTTTTGACCGGTGATAACCCATCTTCGAACTTGACCTGAAAATCATCAAAACAACCTTCCTGACAAATTTCCAAAATATTTGGATGAAAACTGCAGCCACTAGAGTGTTAACAAGCTTTTTCTATTTTTAGCACCTGTGACCTAGTTTTTGACCGGACATGACCCATCTTCCAACTTGACCTAGATATCATCAAAACAACCTTCCTGACAAATTTCCAGAATATTTGGATGAGAACTGCAGCCACTAGAGTGTTAACAAGCTTTTTCTATTTTTAGCTCCTGTGACCTAGTTTTTGACCGGACATTACCCATCTTCCAACTTGACCTAGATATCATCAAAACAACCTTCCTGACAAATTTCCAGAATATTTGGATGAAAACTGCAGCCACTAGAGTGTTAACAAACTTTTTCTATTTTTAGCTCCTGTGACCTAGTTTTTGACCGGATATGACCCATCTTCGAACTTGACCTAGATATTATCTAAGCAACCTTCCTGACAAATTTCCAGAATATTTGGATGAAAACTGCAGCCACTAGAGTGTTAACAAGCTTTTTCTATTTTTAGCTCCTGTGACCTAGTTTTTGACCAGACATGATCCATCTTTAAACTTGACCTAGATATTATCTAAACAACCTTCCTGACAAATTTCCAGAATATTTGGATGAAAACTGCAGCCTATAGAGTGTTAACAAGCTTTTTCTATTTTTAGCTCCTGTGACCTAGTTTTTGACCAGACATGACCCATCTTCGAACTTGACCTAGATAAAATCAAAACAACCTTCCTGACAAATTTCCAAAATATTTGGATGAAAATTGCAGCCACTAGAGTGTTAACAAGCTTTTTCTATTTTTAGCTCCTGTGACCTAGTTTTTGACCAGACATGATCCATCTTCAAACTTGACCTAGATATCATCTAAAACAACCTTCCTGACAAATTTCCAGAATATTTGGATGAAAACTGCAGCCTATAGAGTGTTAACAAGCTTTTTCTATTTTTAGCTCCTGTGACCTAGTTTTTGACCGGAGATGACCCATCTTTGAACTTGACCTAGAAACCATCAAAACAACTTTCCTGACAAATTTCCAGAATATTTGGATGAAAACTGCGGCCACTTGAGTGTTAACAAGCTTTTTCTATTTTTAGCTCCTGTGACCTAGTTTTTGACCGGAGATGACCCATCTTCGAACTTGACCTAGATATCATCAAAACAACCTTCCTGACAAATTTCCAAAATATTTGGATGAAAACTGCAGCCACTAGAGTGTTAACAAGCTTTTTCTATTTTTAGCTCCTGTGACCTAGTTTTTGACCGGAGATGACCCATCTTCGAACTTGACCTAGATATCATTAAAACAACCTTCCTGACAAATTTCCAGAATATTTGTATGAAAACTGCAGCCTCTAGAGTGTTAACAAGCTTTTTCTATTTTTAGCTCCTGTGACCTAGTTTTTGACCCGAGATAACCCATCTTCGAAATCGATCTGTATTTCATTGAGACAAACATTCT